ATTAGTATACTTTGAATGTGTGAGGCAGACTGCATGCACTTCAGTGTAGGACTCATATGAAGCCATCAACCAATCCTTGCTAACATCCAAAAGGTGATTTAACGTATCACTATAATGGTACAGGGTGCCCACTTCTACTACCAAGCAGTGCATTTGCTGTATGTATTCTCAAACTGACTTCTTAAATTATTAAAAATTATCTTAAACATCATCCATAGAACGATATGACGCAGTAACAGTTGGGCCAACAATTTCATCAACAAAATGAACACATGATACAAATGGAGTGTGTCAAGTGATAAAAGTGATAAAAGCATGACAGCAGTTCTAAACAGGAAGTGAAGCTGATGTTAAAGTCAAGCCTTTGCCTGGAGCGTACTTATGCTCCCAGTTACTTGTGTTCTTTTCAAGTGGTGATGCAAAAGTGCAAAAGCTGCAGTTCCTTGAGTGTCCATTTGAGGCCGGCAGCAAAAGCCATGGAGTCAGTCACGTACACACCCATGTTAAAATGTCAATTTAAACAGCAGTAATAAACATGTTTACAGCCTGGTTAAAAAAACGATTTTTGTCTGAATAGTTCATGTCTTTTTGGGCACACACACACAGGGATTTAATTTCAACTTGTCCTTTCAATTCTATGAAGAATGAAAGTTTTGCATAATTTGGGGCGTGAATAATATGACTACAAGCCAGTGCATTGTAGTTGTTTGCCAGGCTAAAGGCCCACCTCACTTCATTGCAGGTTAAAGGTTGACTGAAAGCTGAAAGTTAGTTTAAGATGGAATTTTTCAATATGACTTCTGCCATCATCAGGCCTCAAAACTCCTCTTCAGTAACCAATGGGTGCATCACTGTGACTACGTCCATGTTTTATACAGTATATGGTTCTTCTGCTCAATTTCCTCTCGATAAGATATTAAAGACACATTCATTCTCATTCCTAACATACCACATGGACCTCTCTCTACTCCTATAATTTCCATACCAGTCAGTGACCTACAGTAATAGCTGTGATATATGGACAAAGTCCCAGGTCCTTGCCTGCTGACCTTTCTCACAATCCCAAACTGGGCAACCTTCACCACCACAGCCCACCACCAACCCCCAAACTTCCTCCAGCCCTTATCGTAGTGGGGGCTCAGTCCTGCCTCTCTCTCTTCCTTCCCTGCATCTCCTCGTTGGCTCTGCGTATGCGGCTCGCTACACTCCAGTGGCTCCATGAATGTTAATGTGGGGGCGGGGGGGGTGTGGATGTGTGGGGTACATGGTACAGGGAGCAGCTTCACCTGGCCTGCAATGCACAAGAATAAGCAGCTTTTTGCATAATATTACCTTAATAACAGTGACAAATCTGCAGTCAAGTTTATGAGCAGATGTATTAGGACAAATAAGAACCTAGATATGGTTTGCTCAGCTACAGCATAATTTTGATTTTTTCATGCAGATGAAAAACTGACATTTGATGAGTGAGTCTTCTATTGGATCTGTTTTTTTTTATCTGTAAAAAAACTGCATTTTGTGGCCCTTTCTGTCTGCGGATTTGAATTAGCCCTCCTCTGTTGTTCTGGTGTTGAGTTAGTCACCCCATGTTTACTGAGCCCTGACAGAATGAGAATGTATGCATTATGTGGTGATGATCACGGGGTGTTGTAATCTTTGACCCTTGTGGCACGTTTCAAACGCAGATTGAAGATTAAGCCTCTCATGCAGCTGGCTGACAGGCTGCCTTCTTAGCTGCCCCCGGAGGGATTCACTGCCTGGCTTTACCTCTGCAGCCCGGCCTCTCTGCATTAAAGACACAATGCATCATTTAGTTGAATATATTCATTTATTGTAGAAATTACCGCTCAGCAACTGTCCTTTGCAATGTATGTCTATTAAAAAGTACAAGTCATGAAAGCCTTAAATTCATGGGAAAACTTTGGAGTGAATTATAATCATTATTTGAAATGCAAACGAAGCTCATCGTGCAGAAACACTGTTTTACATCATATTAGAGGTTCAGCTTTTACCCTGTCTTAGTAATTAAAATTATTTAGATGGATTGTTATCATGGCTTTGATATTTTGCTCACTAGGATGTTGCAAGTAATTAGTGACCTTGGACATGTGGACATGGGTGAAAATTATGTTTTTCACAGCCCATATCAATTAATCTGCACATCTGGATGACTGTAAATAAAGATGGAAAACATGCCTCAACATCCTCCCGTTGAACAAACATGAAACCAAAATATCCCCATGTCTGTAGCCAGGGTTTGTACTTGGTAGACTATGAATCAGCGGGAAGGCTGACATCACGCCGCTACTGCTTACGAAAACATACATTTGACTTACAGTAAAAATAGAAATGATTCCACAGGTTTGAGAAAATTGATTGGAGTGGTTGAGGCTCAGTGGTAGAGCTGGTCATCTCTCAACCAGCGGGTTGGGGGTTCGACCCCAGGGTCCTGCATTCCCATGTTCACGTGTTCTTGGGCAAGACACTTAAGTCTGCATCGTTGGAAGAGTGTGAATGTGTATGAATGAGATTAGTTAAAACTAATGGACAAATCACACAACAGCCTCTGCCATCAGTGTGTGAATGTGTAGGTGTGACCTGCAGTGTAAAAAGTGCTTTGAGTAGTCAGAAGACTAGAAAAGCACTCAAGTGCATTTACCATTTACCGTGTATTTGGTTTAACAGTTTGACCCATATCCCACCTGTTCGCTTGGAGGAGGCAGGATTAATGACTTATACTGTAGCCGGTCAGTAGGGGGAGCTCTAAATCTTTTAGCTTCAATTCAGGCCAGGACAGGTGTTGTGCTGTCCATTTTATATACAGTCTGTAGTATTAACCTGTTCTTATATCATCCCTTCATTAACAACATGCAAACTATATATTTGGCTCTCTCTTTATTCTGTTTTTCAGGGTTATTGAGTCAAAAAGAACAATTACAAGAGTTATAGGAATCAGGCGTTGAATGAAATGTAAATTTGATAGTGTCTCTAACTTAACTTAATTACTCTACAGTTCATGCAGGCAAAACATCTTGATGCTCAAATATGAATGTCTTCATATGATGGTCACTTTTGATTGGCTAATTCAATAAAAAATAAAATGATGCTTGCAGTGCATGGTGTTAAATTGTATAATGCTATCTTTGGTTATTATTCATAAGGATGTGTTTAGATTGAATTTAAACTTAGTGCAAGTTTCATATTACTTATGTAATAAGTTATAAAAATATGAATCCTAAATTCAGTTTCTATTGCGATGTTGTTGTATCTATTCTTCCACCAAAACTGGATTTAAATCAAAATGATAACTAGTCAGATGAAAAACACAATTATTAAGAATACACATATTTGGAAATATCTACTTGATTAAACATTTAACAAATATGTATGCCTTTGATCCTCTTTGAAATAGGTATCTATACAATGTATTGCGAAATTAATCAGTTTTGCTTCATATGAAAATTGAAATCCTGAGGAACCACAGGGCCTGAAATATGCCTCATGTAAAACAGCCAGCGTTCTGCATTTGAGGTTGCCTTCAGCTAACACACCCAAACTGAGGTCAGAGGGTCATCTTCCGCTTTCACAGTCTGGAAAAAATTCCATCGACGAGAACACAAATAATAAGACAAGTATGAACAGTGTCTCGGCGTGACTGGCCTTCTTTGCACTTTTGAATATAGTTGATATGAAAAAAGGCAGGCGGGCGGAGATGAGCTGAGATGAGCTCTTCAGAATCCTCCGCCTGGAGAGATGAAGAACAGCTGGGGCCTGGCACTCGCTCCATCTCCGCCGGTGTACTCTTTGTCACGGGTAGAGGAGTCTTGTTTTCAGGCGGTAATCAGACAGCCCCAGGGCTCTGTAAAGACCCTGTTCCCTTTTCATCTCAACTGTTGCATATATCCCGCTAATTGGAATCCTGCAACTGGGTCACAGGCTTTGTCTCTCAAGTGCTGTCAAGTCATTGAGACGTGTGGATGTGGAATTGTGGCTGCCTCAGATGCATGATTGAGTCTCCACTCTGTGCTATCACAATGCCTCCAATTTCAATCTCATAGAAGACACTGATTTTCTTTTTCCCATTAACATTTTCTGCTATATTTCTCTCTCTCGCTCTTTGTCATGGATCTGGCAGAACTCAGGAGTCACTGTGGCTTAGGAATCAGAATTTTAAATTCTAAGAAAAGCTTGTGTACTTTGTTTAACCTTAAAAATCGAGATTTCTTTTTACTGAAAAAAGGCAAACAACTCTTGACTTAAATTAATATATTTTTGGATAATGCGGCTCTTCTGATCAACTTTGTAATTAAAGAAAGAAGGGTTCTTAACAAGTTTTATGGAGAACTTCAGCCTCCTGTGGTTAAAAAGAACCTGATTCTGCAGTTTGTCAGCGACTAAAAGAATTAGCCGGCCTAGCATGCCACCACAAATGAGCCAAAACCCTCGGGGAGACCAGAGAGACCAAGCAAGGCACATTTCCAATTATACAGCCAAATGACTCATTTTCTTATTGGGCCTCCTATAATTGTGGTGGGTATTGGGTGCATGCAACTCAATTTGTCTTACATATTTGTTGGTGGGATAGTAAAAGAGTTGATAGAGCTGAGGGGGTTACACAAAGGAGTGGGACAAAACAAAAAAAAAGGAAGCAGGGATGAGACAGATCCCTCAATATTTGTTTGATCTGCTTCATCCTCTTTAATACTGTTGAAGTCAGAACACCAGGAAAGAAAATGCTGCTTTAATTATCTGTGGATTGAGGAATGGGAAGTATCATTTTCTAGTAATCAGAAAACGTCTCTCCAGAGTAATTCACTTTGTTCTGACTGCTGGAATTAATGAGGCTTCCAGTCATGTTGTTATCTGCCTGGAGGATCATCACTATATCAAAAATAATTGACAAATTAAATTAATGCAAATTCCTAAAAAATGTGAGTTTTGTTAAATCCTCCCTTGTTACTTTTTTTTTTTCAATGCAACAAATAAAAAAAAAGAAGAGATTGTTTTAGTACAAACTCAGAAGAAGTTGGTTAAGCTTTATTAAATTTGCAGACACATTTAGAGCTCGTCACTGTGAATTCTTCTCCAGCCATTTCGGAGACAATCAGTTACTTATGAAGCAACTGGACAACTTGTCATACAGGCACATAAAAGGCACAGCACAGATCACAAAAGCCATTTCACGTTGCTAACATTGCTTTATCAGGAGAGCATATCACAAAGTGATCGATAGGACTGAAACAGAGTTACAGTGAAGTGAAATCCTTTTATTACACAGGTAGAACACTATGCCTGTCTATTGGTAACAACATCAAGTGAAGTAATATGTGTTCTCCAAATGAAATAATAAAAAATAAGTAACATCTCATTAAGTACACCCTTTGTTAATGTGGATTACAGCTCAAATGACACACTATAAGACATGTAACATGTAAGACCAGTGAACAGCAGATTTAGTTCTTTCACAAACACACATTAAATGACCGAGCCATCTATTTGTTATCAATTCAAAAAAATATCTCTTTAGTTATAAAATAAATTAAAAAAAAACCTTTTATGACTGGTTTAAGAAGCAAACACAAAAGGGGTTAAAAAAATAAAGTAACCAGAGGAGAAAGGAAGAGGTCTCTAAGCGACCATGCTCTGTGTGTAGTACCATTAACAACTCTTATGTCACTTATTACCACCTCAGTGTGTTGCTGCTTCTATCACTTTGTGAGTGTGTATGTGTATGTGTGTGTGTGTGTGTGTGTGCTAGATGCAACAGTTCAAACGGTGCAATGTGAGGGGAACAGTGAGCAGCAGTAAAGTGCGTCTTAAGCAGCATGTGTTTGTCCTGTGTGTGTGAGTGAGAACAGAAGGGACAGCTGTTGTTTTTTTTTTTTTGAGGCGAGCTGGCCCGCCGCTCACTGTGGGGTGACTGTGAAACAGTCAGGGTCTAAAAAAGGGGGACCTCGCCTCACGCTCCCTGCTGGGCTCCCCTGTCCAAATCTGTTGTAGTGTTCCTCGGTCTTTGTTCAGTAACTCCCTGCCGAGAAGTGTAACATCCCCTTTTCTCTTTCTGATGCTCCCAGCAATGAGTTGTCATTGTCGAGTTGGTCATCAAAATACTTGCAAATCACGACAAGCATATGTCACAAACCAGGGTGTGTTTTACATGACAATAGCACTCTGACTTAATGTGCAACTCCAGTTAAAAGCATCAGAGAGCACTGATTGTCATGGAAGCATCAACTGTGTAAACTTCAAACATATTAGTCAGCAGATTTTTCTTTAGTTATTATTCAATTGCACTTGAACACAAAACAAATGGATTTAAGTAACACACGAGTGGATTCACAAACATTAAAATTGTCAACGGAAGTTTTGCTTCCTAAGAATCATTGCCAGCGATTCATCGGTAACCTGGCAGCTGCCAGGGGCCCTCATGTTGGCTCCTCCATCTTCAGTCTCCAGTCAGGGACCGGGTGCAGCTGAGACAGTCTCCTTTGGTTGGGGTTTCTGCCTGAGCTGTGCTTCAGCCCGCCAGGCAGGGAGGAGAGCCCCCCCCCCCCACACACACACACTTTAGGAGGAGGCTGACGTCTCCATAGTGGACAGGATCCGCACCACCTCTGTTCTCTGTGTGGGTGAGATGTGCTGGGTCATGTGCACGATTGAATCCATGGCGACCTCTGGGTTGGCCTGAACAAGGCTAAAAAAAAAAAAACAGAGAAAAGATGATCACAATAAAGAACAGAAAAGCTTGATTTCACTCGTGTATGTCTGCATTTATTTTGAGCTCTCTTACCTGCGTATCTGCTTGAGAATGTGATCTCGGCGGATGTACTTGATGTTCTCATCGATCACAGACCTGGCGCCCTCTTCTTCAGCAAGTTGCCTCTCCAGCCATGCAACCACCTCCTCATTGTTATCCCACAGATAGGCCTGCATAATGGAAAGAGGGGGTGTTGAAGGAGGGTTAAGCAAGGGTCATATTTGTGATAGGGAAATACAGCCTGCAAATCACACTGTTTCTCATGGTGTGAGGGAGAGAGAGAGAGAGAGAGAGAGAGAGTGAGTGAGATCAACAGAATCTTTAAGGATGATCATCATTTGCGCTATAAAATCTTAAAAAGTTGTAAACATTGCTCATCCCTATTTCCCTGGGGACAAAGTGATGACTTTGTTCTAAACAGACAGTTTAGAACTGATGATTCTTATATGCAGGAAGCTGCAACCTGCAAATATGATCATTTCTACTTAAAAATAATCACCAACACAATAATAAAATAAATGCATCAATAGACCACTCCATTTCAAAATAATTGTTGCAGCTCACAAATCTATTATAGCTTACATTTTGTCTGAGCAAATCTTAAAATGTTATGAATCAACAAATAAGTATCAACAACAAAAGGCTTGGCCTGACATAAAGTGGGGGTGTCATGTCTTGTTGCCTGGACCTGATAGAAACATTAGTATTCATGAGTGCTGGCATCTCTGATCCCACACAAAGTGCGGCTGGAGGGGCTTAGTGCAGATTTGGGGGCTGAGGGGGTAAAATGGGCTCTTTTTATTTATTTTTATGAACAGTCCTGCTTGAGGTCCACGAGCACATTTAATGCCCCTATTAATCATCTTTAATCTGTTTTCTTTTAATTACGAAACAGCGTGTTGCTCTCCTATCTGCACGTGCCAGGGCTGTGATTAATTGGGGCTTAAGACAGCCGGTCCTGATTGGGGTAATGTATTAGCTAACAAGAAGGCCACTTCTTTAGGAGATCTCTAAAGCTGGGCCGGCTCCTGTCGGCCCCTGCGGCAGGTCCTATGAGTCTGAAGACTGGGCGGGAAGAATCAGTATTTATGCATCTCTCATGGATGTTTATTTTCTACTTATCAGTCTATCAGTTTTTTTTTTAAAAACAGGACTGCCTACACTTCTTTATCTGGAGCTCCTAGTAGAGAAGAAAAAAGTGTTTTAGGATAAAAAAAACAAAAAAAAAAACAGACCTTTGTCATCATTCTCAGACAGGCTGAGAATATGTTCACAATGATTGTAAATTTAAACCTCAGGCTCTAGTTCTTTAATAGGAATCTAATACAGAGTCAACCTGTCAAATCAGAGATCACAGAATGCTGCATATGATGACGACTGTAGATATGAACTGATATCTGATCATTTATTTATTGCTTTGTTAAGGTCTATTGTTCACATTCAGTGGTAAGGATTTTAAAATCTGATTATTTTTTAAATTAGAGTAATTGCATTTTTACAACATACATGTACGATCAATACTGAAAAAAACAAAACAATCAAATGAGGCAATACTAGCAAACACGTTTGTTCTAGAGTCTTCTCCCAAAATCTAATTATAATCATATAAATTATATGTTTAAAATATATGTATTAAAACAAACCACATCATCATATGACCATTATCAATGTATGTGTCCAGAAATACTTACTTTAATTTTGAGTCACATCTCGACAAGAATAAAAAACTAAGACTTTCCCGTGAGTATTTGGAGGATTTCTTACCTTGACAGCGCCCTCGGCCTCCACAAACCAGCGGCGCAGCATCGCCTGGATCTGTCCGTCATTCAGCTCGCTGTTGGCCGCTTGGATCTTCCTCTTCACCGTCTCCTCCAGCAGCAGACGACGCAGGCGCCAGTAAAAGAAGTGACGGCATGTCTGCCACTCAAGGATATCCTGAGATAGACGATGGTTAAATAAAAATAGTTATGATAGACATTGATTTTCATGTTACAGTTTCTGATAGTGTATTTCATTCTTTGTATAAGAATGCTCAACCCAATGAATGAGATGACACACTGAGGGAAATACACTGAATGGAAAATTATGAAACCATTTTACACAATATAGTTAAAATGAATGTGGGAATGATTGTATCATGTTGTGGATTATTTGGGGGGGGGGGAGTGACAGATTGATGTTTGTTAGAGAAAAGTGATGTGTAAAAGAAGTTTTCATCATAGTGGACTGGTAGACTCTGCTGAGGTACTTGAGTCAAACATCCAGACCAGTACTATCCGGCCCATATTGTGTGTACAAAACACCCCGACTGTGAAGCTCCCTCTGGTCATGTGAGCAGGGTCTTTAAAATCTGTATGTGAAGGATGGACCTGAGAGGACACAGAATGAGACGGGGCCTGCCTGAGGCGTCACCGCGGCTGCCTCTTCTGTGATTGACCGGGGTCATCAGAAGATAATTATGAGGACGAGTCCTCACAGCCCGGTGAGACCAAACATTATTCACTGGACAGGTGCTGCAGCAGTTAGACTGACTCTCCCCCTGTGGGCAGCATGAAGAAGAAGAAGAAGAAGAAGAAGAAGTGCTCACCGTTATAACACCTTTCTCTTGCATGCGACCTGGGGTGTCATGGAGGTCTGCAAACTGCACGGCCACCTGGTGGTAGATGGGCAGGAGGAACTCCTCACGCTCCTTTAGTTGGGTCTCCAGCTCTTTGCGGTCGGGGGGACTCAGCTCTGGGGTTCCTAAAAAAAAAAAAAGAAGCCCACAACAGTGCTGTCAAACCAAATAGTGATGCTGATAGGTCAGGAGAGGATTTTTATCTCCATCTAGCAGTCTTCTAGTTGGCTTTTAATCCTCAATGGTACAATTGACTTCCAAACCGGTCTCTCTATTAGTATGCAGCTATGAATTAACTCCTGAATGCAGAATTTAGTTTTAAAGATCCCCAAAGCCCTGGTGGCTGTCACCATATACCGATTTCTGTCAAATCCGATCTGTAACCTCTCAAACACTCCCCAGTAACCCCCGCAACCCCCTCCCTCCCCCCCCCCCATCACTCCAGTTCACCCCTCGCCCCGAGTCCAAACAGCATCAGGGCCCACATTTCACTGAGCCTGGAGCGAGATCGATACGCTGTGCAGGAGAGACAGGCGAGCGGCTGATTGATCTGAGCAGGCTGTGATTGACACGTCTCCCCGGGGAGAAGCAGAGAAGATGATACAATCAACAGCGAGTGAAGAACGACAGCGAAAACACACACGCGCTCTTCACCTGATGTATCGCTCTTTAACTGAAATGAGGACAAGGCCGAGTGGAGGGGGGGCGGGGCGGGGGGGGGCGGGAGACACATGTGAAGAGCTATAATTAGAACTGAAGTGGAAGACTCACCCAATCTCTCAGCCAAGCCCGTGTAGACCGGATCCACTCTCCTCATGGTCTTCACTAGGTCCTTCCTCCTAAACTTGATCTCCACTGTTCCCTCAGGCTCCAGCACCCCGCCTCTGGAGACATCAAAGATTAGAAAACAAACAAAAAGGCGCTTCGATGAAGGCGACGCTCAGATCGCCGTCATTTTCAGTCCAACTCACCGGCTGTCCTTGTCGGCGTACATCTCCATGTGACGAGGGTTGATGGTGGGATCTATGACTACCCATGATCCTCCTCTCAGCTCAGCCTGAGGGGGGATATAAACCAGAACAGGCTGCTTGTACTCCCTCAGGCCATCCACAATGTAGGCCCCGAACTTCAGCACCTGGTCATACATATCTAAGACAGAGAGTTTCACATGAGATGCTGCATGGCTTCAAACTCAGACTGACATCAGATTTTTGAGTACTGTTCTTGAAAATGACTCGGACACTGACTAAAATGTGTTTCTGGCATTCTTGAATATGCTCTTGTGATTCATTTATTAGATCCCCAAGAATGAACACAGAAAGCAATTCTTCTTTGCTGCTCCAAGAGGCTCAGCTTTTGAGTCGCTACAATGGACGTAGCACTAGTCTTGGTTATCTTGTCATTGTCCGCAGATATGCAAGTTCTTGTTTCAGTATGTCGAAAAACAGTAATGAAGTCGGAGCATCTTTCTAGGTTACAACAGGAGCAGAAGTACCTTTCATTCCTCCAGAGAAGCCCCTCCAGTTCGCAAACACCATGAGAGGCAGCCCCTCTCTGTTCATGTCCTTAATGGCCTGTGCTGTTTTGAAAGCAGAATCAGGGAACCACACCTGTCCTGCCTGCTGGATGATCTACACATAAAGAAATACAACAAAAAAAAAATCAGCATCTGTGTCTGTAACTGTTATAATACTTGGATAACAGTTCAAGGCGGCGAGCAAGCCTTTACCTTCGCCTCTGAGTCCAGATTGGCTGGATCCGCGGGGATCGACAGCTCAACAGTCCTGGTTTCCACAGCAACCACCCCCGTAGGTATCCCACCCAGTCTGTGGAGAGAGGCCATTCAGCACTGACATCTACAAAATACCTTGACAACAAATATTGATCCAAGAAATGACACTATTGGCAGTGTGTCATGTGTGAGTCTTACCTGGCCCTGCCCACCACCACGCTCTGAGCCCACGGCTGCATGATCTCCATGAACGAGCCCTGGTCGAAGAAGCCGCTCTGCCACGATCCTTTTGGACCTACAGAGACGAGCGAGGGGAGCGTGACTGACACAGTCGGAAATAAAAAGTCCTGCTGCGAATTTGAACTGCAACTAAAACTATTTTTTTCCCAAAAAAATATTCTGCCTGTTTAAAAGTGCATTCACGACCCTGGCTTTTATCCTTGTGTGCAGTCAGAAGTTTTGCATTTTTTCCCCCTTCTGTGTCTGTAAGCTTGGCAGCAGCCATGATGGATGACTCTAAAAATCCGGCTTACTCAGCTCTTTTTTCTGCCTTGCACACCCTGAGAAACATACCCAGTCTGTGAGGTTACCATTCAATTAAGCCTCGCCACTCATCACTAGCAGAGACAGTCGACGGGAGTGGGTGAAAGACGGGACTGAAAGGACACACTGGAGCCATTTTGATATTTTGATTTTTGAAATTTAAAGCCATGATGCTTAAGCAAAGTTTCCGTCTTAGTGTCTTAATGCTATCTGAACAGTAGTGAACCATTTCACACTTTAACTTTAAATGAAGTTTAACTTCAGCTGTCTGAAATAACTACTGACAGAGCATTTCAGATTTCAGAAATTAAAACAATTTAAATTATATGAAAAAATTCTGAAATAAACTGTGGCACACTGAAAATGACTTTACTGTCACTTTATTGTGAGAGAAGTACACGTGTTGCACATTGGGCAAACCTGAGCGACCAAAAGCGATGTTTTCTCACAAACATAGAGTGCCAGTAAAGTTATTTTTCAGTGTGCCACGCTTTATTTATGATCTTTTCATTGTATGTTCCTGCAGCCGACCTGCACCTGGGAATGTAGGTTTGCTGTGCACGGGGTACCCTGTTGGTCATTTCATTAAAATTATAGATTTAATTAATGATTTAAAACACTGACAAAAGATGGATATGTTAAAAAAGGAGCATCTTGGGTAGTTGCTTTTCAGTATTTTTTTTCAAACAAATACAGTTCAAGCAGTACTTCAATTAAAGAGTAGGTTTACACCAAGTAAGAAATCACTGTAGTGGAAAAGAGTGAATTCTACCTATTTAAGATTTAATCTTCCAAAATCTGGTATGACAGATCAACCACCTGACCAGAATCTACCAGACCGACAGTCACGATTATTTCTTTACCTGCCTGGCTACAAAGACGATCACAAGGTGTACTAAAGATGACCAGGCTATGAAAAGATTGTTCCACACCAAATACTCACTCTGGCTTGGCCGTCCTGCCAACATCCAGCGGGGGTCATAGGGAGCCTTTGTGGGCACAAACTCTATCGGGCGGTCAATGGGATCCTTGGCATCGAGGATGGGTACAGGACTGGCTTTACACTGAAGGAAGAAAACATATTTATTGTAATATGAGACAGAACACCTAGCTCTTCACAGGTTAATTGGGTACAATGGTTTAAGATGCAGAATTACTTCAAATAACATTACCATTGGCATGTAGGAGAGCCACTGCAGCAGTGCGAAGACTCCCTCAAAGTCATCAGCAACAGTAGTGTGGGTCACCCCATTGTTGTGCATGATTTGAATACCACCGAGTTGGTTATTGGATGTGTAAACCTCTCTGCCTAGTACCTGTAGTAGGAAAACAAATAAAGTGAGGAGCTAAGCCATGGAAAAATATATATTTTTTTCCTGTTTCATTCAAGAGATTTTGAGGCTACATCAAACAAGTCGTGTACAACAGGATGGAAGCACTGGGAAGCCCTGCTTTTGTAACCAGCTTGTAGTTTTCTGCCCAATTAAATTTATTGTTGATTTACCCTTTAAAAAGTCTCTGCCCTCTGCTCTCCAATGGAGGCGACAGAGTTAATCTATTGCTCATGTTGTGCAACTTTTGCAGACAACGGGAGTTGCACCCACAGGGTCTCAGGTCTGGGGAGCTGCTGATCTGTGAGGTAACACACAGCATACACAGAGCTGAATAACAGCAGGGTGAAAGAGTTTGCCCCACTGCCTTGTGGATACAGATGATCAGCAGCCACATATAAACCTACCACAGCGGTCACAGGTGGATGGGAACACCTGACACTCTCACATGGGGGTTATAATGAGAGGCAGCGTGAATTAACGATTCCCAAACACTCAAATCATTCAACCGGCCAACATCCCTTTTCGTTATCTTGTTTATTCTGAATCCTCCATTTACCAATGGTTACAGAAGATGTTGTAAAAGGGCGAGATGGACCTTCAAAACCGCCCCTATGCCAACCTGAAGCCATAAAACTTCCCTCCCAGCCCACCCTATTTTCATAAGCAGTCTTGAACAGGTGGCAGGGCCCTGACATGGCTCCATAAAAATCAGAGAGGAGCTCGGTCCCTTACCCTCAGCTCTCACCTTTCCAGCCATCATTTACTTTCTTTATTACCATTAATGGTTCTGTATCCGACTACAAATCTGGGGCACTCTCCTAAAGCTGTCAGGAAAGCCTGCGGCCCCTGAAACATTGCAGTCACCTTGACATACACAAAACCCCTGTGCCCGCGGCCATCGGCGGCTTCATTAAGATTCTGCAGCGGAGAGGAGAGGAGAGGGGACGTGGAGGGAAAATGACTGGGAGGAAGAAAATGAGGGGGCAAACTGGATGGAACAGCACACTGGGGTATTTATGCTAGTAGTTACTATCTGCGCTCCATGAAAATATGAGAGCTCTCCAGCAGCTAATGAAATGATGATCTCTAGTTGGCAGCCTCCTGCTCCCCATTAAGTTTCAGTTAATAGCTAGGTGAGCACATGATAAATGAGCAGGAAAAAATTGGGGTTATTCCTACCTTGTGCTGCGAGTGAAACCCATCCAATTTTAGAATTACGACAATGAAATGTAAAAAAAAATGTTTTTTTTCCCCACTCCTTCCCTGACATTGTTTACATTTGTCGCTGCGGCTCTACTACCACAGATATAATGAAGCAGCGAGGCCATCTAAAAACAATGGAGCTCCCAGCAAATAGGTTTGCCATCATTGGGCCATTTGCATGATTTGTCATGTTGCAATCTGTCATCTAATCTGAAATGGAGTCATCTTAATGCAATGACAAGGACGGCGGATAGAAAGCAAGACAAGAGGAGGTAGTGAAGTGTGAATGCATACACACACACACACACACACACACACACAGCAATCAGCTGCATGCAGCAGAAACAATCTGCCTCAGCAAAACTTCTCATTTTGATTAAAAACAAATGATATGGGGGTCCTGCACTGCAGCCCCCGGCATGTCACTCTATTTCTATGCAAATACAGCTTCATGGTCTCGCTTTCAATAATTCCACTATGAGTGGCAGGCGGCCCTGCGGCTACGACCGGAGAGGGGATCCTAGTAGAGCAGTCCGAGGCAAGAGGGAGGCCTGGTCACCCGGTTGGAACAGCTCCAAAATCATAGTCAACTTTTTCATGTATTTTGTTGTTATAGACGTGCACACCAATCTTCCTTGATATTCAAAACGATGCATTTGTCAGCTGATCATAAAAGTCAAAAATCTCCCCTGTAGAGTATCAGCTATATGATCAAAGTTTTACTCATGCCTTTCCAGATCTGTTTGCTATTTCTCCAAACTGGCTGAAAAAAAAAAAATTGTAGTGAAATCCTCATTAAAATGTATCAACTGTTGCACTGTAGAAATAACATAGATGGTGCTTATTCAACAGGAGAAGAAAACAGCACACAATCACACAGCTGTAACGTTTTTTTTTCTATTAAAACAATTCTGTATTTGTGTTTTATTGACGTTAGCATTAACACGCAGATTATTTTACCTTGTTGAGCGCACCAGCTCCAGTAAGGATAATGTGAGAGTTGTCCACCTGAATGGTTCTCTGCCCCAGCCTCACCAGATAGGCCCCTATCCCTATGGCTCTGCATGTGACCTGCACGACAAGACAATCACGTTAAAGCTACCAATACACGTCAAGTAGCCCGATGCGGAGGAGGGAGCCACTTCAGTCTCACCAGGTTCATGGTGATGATCTCGTCGTAGGCCAGAGAGGACTCTCCAGCAATCATTCCGGACCCTTTCAGGTTCTCAACACCGAGCCCCTCATCTTTCCCAATGATGTCAGTGATCTTGTACCTGCATGACAACACATATATTTACTCGGAAGCACGGCACGACCCTCCAAAAGCTTTTCCTTTCATTTTCACCTCCGCTGTAATCTCAAGGGATTTCAAGCATGTGGTCATGCATACTTGTCTGATACTGCAGCATGTTGGAGAGATTAATTTATTTGGGTAACCTGAGTGTCTATCGACCCACAAAATGTGAAATAAACCCATCAAGTCCTTTGTTTGTAGTCTGCATAAGTCTTACAACACAGAGAAAAATGCTACACTTCAAAGGAGTGATGTCTACCGGAAAACTCAGGGGGGGCTCATTCCATTTAAAGAGACACACACACCAAAACGGAGTGTTCTGAGAGAGCTGGTTTATACAGGGTCACAAACCTCCTCTGCTGCTGGATTCATGTTATATTTTGACCAAAGCACAGGACAGATGTTTCATTTAGACCATAGGAAACTGTTTTAAAAGGTGGAAAAGGGGAATAATATGTCCTCTTTAAGTGTCGATACATTATGAAAAGGGTTTACCTGGATTCTCCCTCATCCTCCACATGTTCACAGTGCACAGAGTTCAGGGCTGACACTTTCTTGTAATCCTGAGGTGTGAGGTAGAGATACTTGAAACCCTACAGGAGGGAAAAACAGATGATTGCTCAGTTATGATAAACAGGAGGTCAATCACTTTTAAATACTTTGAAAAGCAAAGGGAAAATATAATAATTAGACACCTTTAAAATGTACTTGATAAACTACTAGTAACTACAGAACCACGAAGTACATAATATGTACAAGAGACAGACAAATCCAACATTCTGTGACGTGTGCGTGCTGACCTTATAGGGGTCAACAGGATCTTGCCAGGCCACGTGGAACATGTGTCGGATTTCCTCTGCCAGCCCGATGCGGGCGCCGCTGTTTGCTGCGACGTAGATTCGAGGGATGCTGCTCTCTCGCGCCATCTCCGACGCCCGCAGAAACAACACATCCTCCTGGGGCCCGAATGAGCCGATCTTGTGTGTGATGTCATTGGCTATGACGATGATCTCGCGGCCTGCTGGATATTCTGGTGTACGCAGGGTCATCCGCCACGCCACCATGCCGATCTAGAGAGATTGGAAAAGAAATGGAAAGGAATTCTGTAACAAATCTGTTTTAGTTAAAGTGATCAAATGATGTAGCTGGGACTAAGATCAATAACTCATACATCGTTCTCCATGCTTTAATCAGATGGCAGCCTTTTATGATTATGGTCTTATAGAACTACTAGACATAGGTATTATTTTTTAATGCACTTTAAATGAGGTATAAGGGTGTGCAATACAACAATAAAGGTTTAAACAAGCACAGCCAAAGAAACACAGAGACACCTACAGCATGAAAGGAAAACTGCACCTTTGAAAGAAAGGACGATGGGTTCACATAAGCAGCCATGTCAAAGTGAATAAATTCAATGAACTCATGTCTGTATTTATGTTATGAAAACACACGAACTGACCTCGTTGCCCCCTGGCAGTCGGTTCATCTGCACGAGCTGACCTTGGGCGTCAAGCACCAGCTCTGTGAAGGTGAGCAGCTCAGAGGGAAGAGGACATTTGGGTAAGTGGGCAAACGTCTGGCTGGAGTGCCACATCTTCTTCAGAGCCTGATAAAAAAAGAAAAGAAAAAAAAAAAGTCAGGATATAGTTACTCATCAGCTCATTTGGTTTATCGTCATGTTTATGCATAAGGGGCGAGAAGAGTTTTAACACGGTACCTGTCGGAACATTTCTGGAAAGTCGTAGACGTATGTGGTGCCCAGAGACTGCGCCTGGAAGCGCTTGGACTGCAGCAGGTCTTTAGTGACGTAAGGTGTGTTGATGAGCATGCCGTGCAGCGGGCCCTGTTTGTCTCCATAGGCTTGAAACATGATCTGAACAAACACAGACACACAGAGTCACTCTTCACATACATACACGGACAGGTACATAAACTGACCTCTTTAAAACATTTGTACATTTGACTTTGAAATGCCCATGATGAGGATGATGAGGATGATGATGATACACAGCTACAGCATCAGGCAGAGACAGAGCTACCTGACATGTACAGGTACGTTTATGCAGCCACTTCCTTTAACTGATATTTTGTTGAATTAGACGTAACACGTCATCTAACCAAAATGTTTCTTAACTTGAGTTCAATCTTATAAACATTTGCAGGATATGCAGATATTGTTTTATTGTGTTTAGAATCTTCAAGTTAAATCTAAATTCAACACCTCTCACTGTCACTATGATTGAATTAATGAAGCAGGCACATAGCAAAAAAAAAAAAAACAACACATAAAAATGGGCATGCCATTTTTTTTCTAAATGTAGATTTGAAAAGATTGCATAAACGGCTGATGTGATGTGATTTGATGCTGGTCGGATGAATGGATGGCTTGATGACGTACAACTTACCTGATCAGCTGCGAGGAGAAAGAATATTACTAAATAATTGTCCACCAGGCTAAAGGTAAGGATCCATACTGGATCTCTATTCCCATTCAATAAATCTTCAAGCCTGATTTCTTAAATTATACTGCGTAAAATTTGATCTTTTTTTCACTTTACAGGAGAGGATGGTAAATTGCATTCTGGGAGCTGAGGTTTCCAGGATGGAGGTAAAGCCCTTACACCAGCCTGGGGACAAAAAGCGGATGAGATGGATGATGTATGAGTGCCCCACCTGTCGGTCTTTGGGCCCCACCTGTCCCGTTCGGGAGTCGGTGACCTCCTTGTACAGGCTGATGTCCAGGTAGTAGCCTGATTCGTTGGTGAGAAAGAGGCGGATGGGGATCTGCTTTCCCGTCGGAGTCAGGCGTATGTTAATTTTCAGTTCGGCCTGCAGGACACGCAGCTTCCAAAGACGGCTGCCGTAACGCATCACCATGGAGCGCACTGACTCCTCGATCTGAAGTTTGTAAATAAGAGGAGAATAAAGAAGCATTCAAATTGTGGTCTGATTCTTCACAGCGCTCCATGTGTGAGCTAGTTTAACCAACCTTTGATGGGTCCATGATGACAGTGGGGACAAAATTGAGGAAGATGTGGTTGCAGTCAGTCCGTACAGTCGTGTTGTTGAAAGCCACCTCCAGCTCATCCATGGCTTCCAGCAGGAGACGCTCTGCCTCATTGTGAAGGTATTCGAAAGAGGCCTCCTAGGAATGGAACAGCGGGGGGTGTAAGATAACTTTTTTTCAGAATCTAAAGAGGAGACATAAAGGACTGGAACAAAGGTATGTTCAAAGGTTCTTTGTCTCTTCATTGTCTCACCTTTGTGACCAGATCAGAGTGGCGGATGATGGCTCGCACAAAGAAACGGTAGTCCGTCACTTCTGTGCCCTGCTCGACGCGGGCTGCACCCAGGTACAGATGCATCTTGTGGTTCGCACATGGGATGGCAGTTAGGGCAAAGTTACGCATGCGGTTGAGCTCCAACTGGAAAGCCAGTGCCGGCTCCAAGTGACGGTAGATCCTGTCCTCCTCAAACTATTTAGAAACAAGAAAAGACACAATCACAAACTTTACCAAAACACAACATTAATTAACTGATTTCATTGAAGTCATTTAAAGACATTTTTAAAGAGTGTTTCTTTTTCTATAGAAGTCACACAAGCCCAAAGTTGATCTAAGAGAAGAAAGATGCCTGAGAGCCAAAACGTTTATGAAGTCAATTTAATCATGGCCAGTCTCCATCTCATCAAGTTTCTAAGTGGTGTCTTTTCTCTTAGATGGGAGACATAATTACAGAGTTCATTACTTTAATGACTTTGCTAGTGTTTTTGTAGTGAAACTATTAGAGTAAGAGAGATGGGCCATCAATGATTGGGATGAAGTGACGTTCTGCAGTGCCAGGGGGGGAAATGTTGTTCAATTCAGCCGTAACATGTTTTTAAATGTTCTCCCAAGCGATCGACAGAAAATCCATTTGTTTCATTTTAAAAGTTTTTACACAGTTTGTAGTCTAAGTGTGTCAACCTAGTGTTTTTTCAAAAGGGAAAAGGCGCTGGCTGTGTGATCTGGAGCGCTTGAATGAAGCGGCTGTGCGCTGAGAATAAAAGTGCCGCACGTGCACATTGTCTGTATGACAACAGTTTTTTAAAAACGGCCGCTGCTCTGTTGCTTTTTACTGTATATTTGAGATAGTTTCTTTTCAATCAAACAGAGGATGCTTTACAGTACCACCTAATTTGTCACAGAGACAAAAATACGTGGAATATCATATAACTTGGAAAGAGCGGCGGGGACGTCAAGAATGCCTTTCTTAAAAGTAGAACGATTTTATACTTGAAGTTCACGGAGCGCCTGCACAAAAAAAGGCGCAGCGCTCAGAAAAAAAAGACGCTGGGCGCTGCGCTTTTCCTGCCTGCTGCTGCAAACGCTCTCTTACTCATTGAAAACAAATGAGAACAGAAATGCATGTAAATCTATCATATGTGTATCCCTTCATCTTTGCAATAGACCTGATCATTTCTTGATATTTAAAAAAAAATGGCTTCTTGGTGATATTTTCAAAAGTTTTAACTGATGAAGAAATAATAAATCATAAATACACACCTTGTCTCTGGCACGGAATGTGAAAAACTTGGGGAACTCTCTCTGTGAGGAAAACAAAAAGTGAGAAAAAAAGGTAGGAAGGACACAAATATAATTAACAATGTCAACATGAGAAACATGCATGTAGTGTAAGAACAGCAGTGTTAGGAATGCTAGTTAGACATCTACCTACAAGAGGCTAGAAGCTATGCTGCAATTTGCTTAAATTGCTACACCATTGCTAAGTATGGAGTAATAAGCAGTGATCATGAGGCGCTTGGTCCCAATGCATTGGATTGTACGCTCATTTATTCCTGTAACGTGTCAGAGAATCACTGTGATTTCCCTCAGACAGCATGCTCACAGGATGATAACAGGATGTATCAAAAGCAACACTTACTACGCCAATAAATAAAACATTCTATAATTTTTTTTTTTTTAAAAGACATAACCGCCTCGTAATAATGCTCCATAGCCCTGTTTGACGTTATCAGATGAATTGTACCATTTGTCAGACTGACTGGTGATGCTCTATGAGCTCAGTCACAAAATAACTGCGACAGCGCACACACGCTGTAAACCTCCACAGCCGGGATTTTAACCTGCTGTTACACATCAGATTCACTATCAACACGGTGAACCTGCAAACTAAATCTTCTGGCTGAGCATACAGAGGGTAAAGGTTAAAACTCCTCCATATAACATAATGATGGTGACACCCATTAGCAGGATTAGCTTTCATCACAGACAGAGAGAGAAAAAATAAAATCTTATCGTCTTGATGATGTGCAATTTCTTAAAATCCAACCCCCGTTTTAACTCTCTGCTATCATCAACCTCAACAAATGCAAGTGGGTGTTCTGTTGATTGTGTGTGCACTCATTATTTAGTGTTTCAAAGTGACAAATCTATGAAAAGGAGTTTAGGGTTATGTAGCATCAATGACTTCTTTAAGCTAAAAGGGGGAAAGCAACCAGGCTATCTTAAGGCACACTCACTTAGAGACAAGGATTACGGTAAAATGCATTTAATTAATCACATTTAAACATCCACAGGAGCAGGGGAAAAATGCCAAAGAGTCCCAAGGGTCTTCTACAGGGCGTTGGGAGTGTCCTACTAGCCCATGAAGATTGACAACCAGCGTACTTCACACTACGTGTAAGCATGTGCTATATCCATTTATTCTTGTTTTTATATTTCAGTGCATATTCTGTCTTTGCCTTTTTTTTTTTTAACCATTTTATACTGATGCATCTATTAATTTATTTGTTCTCCGCAGCTCAGGGAGATGCCCCACTGTTTTTTTTAATGCACAATGACAATAAAGACTTGCAATCTTGAAACATGAATCTCCTTTGTAGTAGGGTGTGTCTTAAGAGCGTTTAACTTAACTCATGGGTATTGTTTCAATGAATCAACTCAAAGAGCCACCTGTGCTCACATCCTTTGTCTTCCTATACTTACATGAAACCTTTGGTCCACCTCACAGTTGACTTGCTTCCTGAAATCCTGTCATCATAAATGCAGCAGCAAAAGCAACGCATGCAGAAAGAGATACAGAGACAAACAGAATAGTGAGCTAAATTAGAAACACATTATCACAACCATACCAATGTCAATCAATATTTACTGAGGAAATACAGTGTTAGTAATTACATGAGGAAAGACGGAATGACACTTTTTAATATCTGGTTACATGCTATTCAGAAAATGTTGAGTTGGTGACATGCGGGTCAGCTGGTTGTGGAGACAGGGAGTAGATGATGTCATAATTCATGATAAGGTTCTCTCACCTTCTGAGCAACCAGGAAAGTCAGCCTACGGATACCGTGTTCAAACAGCAGAGATTTCTGGATAGTGACAAGATCAGAAAGGTCAGGATAACATGTCTTATTCGAAACTCTTCCTGATGAGATCTGAATTAAGTGTTCACCGCGGAGCGTTCCTACCTTTGACTGAGTGAACTCTCGGAAGCTGGCGGCCAGGCCGTCGTCATCGATGTCGCTGTCAGTCTTTATAGCCACATTCAGGATATGGATAGGCTCGTCCTGAACACTCTGGAAAGAAAGTAGACGACGAAGAAGACACACTTTATTAATCCTGCGAGGGGAAATTCAGTTTTACACTCCGTTGTAGAACATTCTACACACACATAGGCTGAAATACACACACATGAACAAACAGATCATATGGACGTGCACGAATGGAGAGATGTCAGAGTGAGGGGGCAGGAAGTGAACTGCAACCTCTCCAGCTACCAGACCAATTTCCAGACTTGGTCCACTCTGGGAATTGAGCCGGCTACCCTCCGGTTCCCAACCCAAGTCCCTGCAGACTGAGATACTGCCGCCACAAGTACACGTTTTATTCCAAAAGTATGAACACTGTTCAAAAGGGAAGTCATCAACATTCACCTTGTTCTCCTCTTCTCCGTACAGGACAGGATTCCCTCCCTCTGGGAACGTCGGACTCGGAGGAGGAGAGTCAGAAAAGCAGCTCAGCACATCAGGGATGTTCCTGCAGAAGACAAAAAAAATAAATAAATCAGACACACCATTAATTACTTTTTTTTTAAATCTTCGACAACCAAATGAATATATTCAAGTAAAGCACTTCCTCTTTACTAAGACTGACCTGGTGAACTCCTGAAAGGAGCGGAAGGCGACCATGGCTCCCATGCGTTGACAAGGCGGTGTAAAAGACGTGTCGAGCAGAACATCACTGACGCTGGCTACGTGCACCATGCCATAGTGGTTTAAGTTGGAGGAGAATGACATCCTAGGGTATCGACAAAGAACGGTTACAATGGGAATCTACCATTAAAGAACAAAGACCGTGTGAAGATGTCCCACAATTACCGTTCGGAAAACTCTTAACGGATTAAATCTTCCAACTTTGAAGAGCTGCTATATTATCTGAAGATATGGACACACTTCTGATGAAGTCTCACATATAACTGAGTGAGGTTCCATTTATAGAGAGCAAGAAGAAACACAATGCCACCACTGCATGTGAACATAGTGAGAGGATTCATGACAGACCATGTGTTAGATAATTTAAATCAACAAAAAAATCCCTTCCACAGCAACAAAGAGACATTAAAGCACCGGAAAGACCCCTATAAAGTTCCCCTTCCATCTTGTTTGGTGTTAGTCTGATTGTGAGAAACTCTCCCATAATTTTCACCCGAGAGTTTTTATATTTGTTGTTGTTGTTGTTGTTGTTGTCAAACCTGTCCTCAGTATCCAAATCGGACGCATTTTTCTTCTCAGCGTTATCATCCTTCTTAGGTTTACTATCTTGTGCTTTAAGGTCCAGGGCTTTCGTTTCATGTAATCTATTTTCAGCAGCTTTTGCCATGTCCAGGATGGGAGCAGACATTTTCCTGGCAGGACAGTCACAGGGTTTCAAGTTCAGGAGATTTGCATTTTTCCTTCAGCATTTGATTGAAATGAGCTTACGTCGCTTTATATCCCACGATTTGTCCAAATCTCCAAACGAAGACAAAGCACTTACGCACACACACAAGTTAGGAATATATCACTCTCTCACAGACAGACACACAAACACTCACTCACACTCACACATACAGACTCAAAAATGTTTGACACAGAGGCTGAATGCCAGGGGCCATGCTGTATTGTGTTACTGCACCAGACTTGACCCTCAAGTGCTAGATCAGTTTCATTTTTGATAAGTTGAAAGCACCAAACGAACATCTTTATCTTGGCTACAAATCAGAAGAATCCAAACTATCATAGATGATTGTTTTAAACATGCAGCTGGCTAGTCAGTACAGTTACAGGTAGTCTATGCAATGAAAGGAGTGTTTACATTACCTGTTTAGAGTGGGGATGTTCCCTCTGCAATCAAACGACATTGATTACTTAGTGGTTAGTGGCAGGCATCAGGAGAGGAGGGCAGTCATTGGTTAGCAATGTGTGTTGGCCCTTTAAGTATTTGAACTTATTTTTCGCAATAATCAATATCGAACGAATGCAATCACTGTGGAAATGTTGGATCATGTAAAGTGTCTTTCTGGCTGTCGAACACACATTGCACGCTGTGACTGCTCTCAACATGCATCATTAGATTCAAACGCCTCCTTGTCCTGAGTTTGACTCTCTCTTTAGTTCACACTAGGGCCTGACCGATACAGGATTATTGGGGCCGATACCAATATTAGGGAGAAATAAAATTCAGATACAGATATATCGGCCGATATCTTTCTTAGCTCATTAAGAGATTGTTTGAAGTATATTTAAAAACACATTTATTACGTTGAATCTTCAACTGCAGTTATTTACATTTAAACAAATCCTTTATTGGCCAGAAAAACAACAGTGCTTTAAAAGACTAATTTTTTTACTTAGAAATGAACAATTATAAATAAAAAACGATGAATTTTTTTTTTTTTTAAATAAACTTAGATGGAAGAAACCTAGTGATATTGGCACATTTCAGAGAATCAGAGATAATATTAGCCAATACCGATATTCAGGCAATGTGTTATTATCGGCCGGCTGATGAATCGGTCGGGCTCTAGCTCAATCATGGTTTTAAATCAGATGCATCAAATCACAAGCATGCGATCAATTGTGTACATGCATAAATAAGCAGAACACAATCAAAACAAACTAGCATGGCAAAGCGTCAACAAACAAATTACTCTCATGTATACACTCACACTGGGACCAAACAGAAGACAATCATACAGGGAGGTTGCAGAAAAGACAAGTTCACCAGAAACGTTGCATTACTTTGTCTGTTACAAGCGTATTGAAATGCTGTGCATGTACAAGGCAAATCCCAAGTTTGTCTTTGGTCTCCAGAGTTTAATGTAGCCTAGCACGCCCCCCGATGTTTTATCCTGGACTTACAAGGACGGGCAACTGACGTGAGACTGTCGAGGATGGGTGCTTTGTTGCTCACAGAACATGTATTAGTGAAAGCCTGATTGTTAAGGTGAGGCGGTGTCCGTCACAACACTCACACACTTGACAAACCAAGAGAAGTATTTTTTTTTTGTTTTGTTTTTGATTTTTTAACAAAAAAATACCTTCTTTTGCACATGAGGAGCATTTACTCGAGGAATGACACAAAGCTGGGATCATGAGAGAGGAACCTTGGCACCATGGATGGATTCATTTATTTACCATTAACATTTAAAATATCCATCATCCATCGTAGATGGCCTAGTGGTTAGGTCGCACCCCATGTACGTAGGATATAGTCCTCAAGCGGGCAGTCCGGGTTCAAGTTCAACTTGTGGCTCCTACTCCTGACTTCCTACTCTATCCACTCTCCTGTCAACTGAAGGCAAAAAGCTCTCTGAAAAATCCGTCTTAAAACAGTTATGGCATAAAAGTGGATTATTTGGACCCTCAGGGGAACTGGTTGCCATCTTGGTTGTGGCTAATGGAGATTCAAATGAGTAAATACACTCTTTAGATGGATGCGTTTTATAAAACTACAGCTCTGGTCCATCCGTGCTACAAACACCAGGACCTTTGTATAATAGAATGAAGGAAAAAAAAAAAAAAGATCTACCAAATATTACAGATAATTTATGAAAAAGCTAGTAAGACAAATAAAGGGTAGTTGCAACTGATTCTGCTAAGATATATGCTTAATTAAAAAAAAACTGTGATAAAAAACATGTTGGTGCTACCAAACATTGTTGCCACTAATGGAATATTCAATACGGAACATGTATTAGTGAAAGCCTGATTGTTAAGGTGAGGCGGTGTCCGTCACAACACTCACACACTTGACAAACCAAGAGAAGTATTTTTTTTGCCACTAATGGAATATTCAATACGGATCACTTTAAAAATATTTAGTTATAAAGCTTCTGTCCACAGTGCCGTTGAAGGTGGGGGGGGGGGGGGGGGGGGGGGATGGGGGTGTGTGATGCACATCATGAGAGTGCTGCAGCCTTTTTCAGAATTCACAATACCTGTTGGGGTGTGAGGTGGGAAGCATGAACTGGAACTCCACCACACACGTGTTGTCTTTCAGCTGACGGTGCTGAACGCTGTTGAGCTCATATGCGATGTATGCTCTGCGAACGTACACCTGGAGTCATGGGAGAAACAGAAAAGATACGTTTGATATGGGAGTCTGCAGCATTATTATTTTTATTTTTTTACACTCAGTAAATCACGTCAGATCAATTTGTGGAATGTGTAGGGATTATTCTTCTCACCTCAAGGGCAGCCATCCTGACTACCTGGTTACTGTGGTAGAAGAAGTTGGGCAGAACATCAAAGATGGATGTCTCAGAGAGGATCAGTTTCTAGGAAAAAGACAGGATGATTACTCATCTTCAAGAGGACTTCAGAACATTAAATAAAGCCTTAGCTGAATTCTTTACCTGCAGGTTCTCGATGCAGAACTGGTGTCCATACATATCGATGGCGGAGAGGAAGATGGATTCCACCTGGTTGTGTCGTAGCTCATAAGAGGGGAGGTGGGAAGCTATCAACACCTGTGTAAAAATGAATGAACAAACTCCTTAAATATCATCATGTATTTGTTTTCTGTTTTATTTAAGTTGAACAGTACTTTTCTTTTTCAGTTTATGACAGTGCTCATGCCTTTGATCCGTAATTATTCAAGACGGGTTGATAGTGACATCCAGAAAGGCAGATCAGAAACAAACTTTTTACCTTTATGGAAGAGGAATTGGCACAGAAAAAGTAAATTATAAGAGCTCTACATGCAGTGACAAGGGTAAGCATGGTATTCATTGACAGTGAAATTAAGTGTGTGTGAAAATGCGCTGTACGTTAAAATATAGCGTTCGATTCTGAGTCTTAGACTGACCTGTCGGGCCCGCAGAGCCACCTTAGCATTAGTCGTCTTGCTGAGCTGTGTTAGTTCAGTCAAGATGGCCATCAGTTCATCTGTCAGTGTCGGGTCACGGCCACACAGCTGGTCCTAGACATAAGGGATAATAAGGTTATACAACATGCAGCATCACAAGCCAGACATTTTATACTGAGACTCAACACAAACAAATAGTAATCTTAACAGCATAGGGGCAAAATGATCATGATTTCGGACATCAGATCTTGTGCAAAAAGAGAACGCTTGAAACAGAAGTCCGAAAGTCATGATTTAATCAATGAAGAAAAAGGAAAACGGCCTTACAACATCTAGACCAGAGACTTACAATCAGCATCGTGACCACCAGGTTCTTCTTGGTGACTTGAGCATGAGAGAAGATGTAGTTGAGCACATTGGCCATGTCGCCTTTGTTTTCCTCTCGCAATGCAAACACACACTTGTCATAGTGTCCTGTTGACAAAATAATGAAGGAGGAGCTCGGGTAAGCACTGAATAAGGAAACAGTATCAACTGATGCTGAGGCGTTTCACTGGGAAAAACTCCCACCAAGTGGACAGAATCGGTACTGCATTGACTTCAGAGAACTAAAAAGGACAGCAAAGCTGAAACCACATGTAACCTGTTATGAAGTGTGTTCTCTCACCATTCTGAAACTGGATCTCTACTTTCAGGTACTGTCTGAGCAAGTCCATCACCACTGCCTTCATGTGACCTCGGATACCACTGCGATACCTGATGGAGACAAAAACAGTCTGTTCTGACAAAGAAAAAAACTGCAATGCTGTATCGTACTGCTTATGCATGAGAGCATGAATAAGTTTAATCTATTATGTAAAAGAAAGGTAACAAGGAGATCAAGAGACATTAATTCAATTAAGCTTGATGTTACAAATGACTCATGTCATGCTGATGTGCAGCCTCAGCCTCCACTTCTGAGATGTTGCACTCACTTCTGCACCAGCTGGACGATACTTTGTGTGTTCATAAAGAAGACTTCTCTCTCTGACTTCTTGTTAAGAGTGGCTGCATGGCTGTCCAGGATGTTTGCAATCTGGAAACAAGGGAGAAAACATTATGAGCGTATATATTAGAAACATTTAATCCCAGTGGCATCAGTGACCTCTATTCAGAAGTCCTGACTGGTTGTTAAATTTGTAATTTCAGCTAAATAAATAAACAAGTTGTGTTTGACAGCACCCTTTCACTACTAATCACATTATTGGGCTTTCCTTTTTCTTAAACTGTAGATGAAATCTAATCTGTTTGCGTTTATTAATCCAGAATGAAAAGAATAGACAGTCCTTGCATTCTGCTAAGATTTGTAGTCACTCACATATTGATGTGTTCACAATACTACCAATTGACATGACATGAATTTAATCTTCAGTCTTCTTGAAGATGTTCTACTTTTGCTTTATATCATAACTTAGAGTTCTACTCTGAACCATAGACTGTAAATATTAATAGATAAAGCCTGAGTGACATCAGCCATCTGTTACGGCAGGGGGGGCTCCGCAGGCTCATCGGCAGCAGCCGCCATGCTGGAAATCCTGTCTCATTTTAACTTTCAGTCAACCTAACGATAGGCTTAGAGCTGGAACTGAGGCAGTTTTAAGCCTCTTGACAAACTGTTACATCGTGTCCACCTGTCACTCTTTCTATTAGTGTAGTAAGCATTGTGTGTGTGTGTGTGTGTGTGTGTGTGTGTTACCTGCTGGCTGGGAAACTGGCAGAGCACGGACGTAATGTTGCTGGCGTACTGGGCCATCTCTTTCTTGATGGCCTTCTCCACAGCAGGGGGGATGCGCCCGGACACGCTCGTCATGATGTCTTGAAGCTCCAGCAGAGGCAAAGAGGGGTCACGCATTGTCTTCATCAACCTCTCCACCCACTCTTTCAACTACGAGAGACACGACGAGGCGTTGTTTCAAGGATCTGAGGTGATGTTAAGAGTGTAGCAGCCAGGTGTGTGTGTGTGTGTGAACTCTTACCTTAGCGCTGAAGAAAGGCTCAGGGAGACAGTAACCATTCATAATGTGAACGAGATGGTCCAGTGTGTTGTGGAAGACTCTGTGGAGCTTCTCCCCTCTGAGAGCTACTGCCTGAATAGTAGGCAGGGCGCCAGTGTGCAGCTCTGCCTACAAGACAAAAAAAATATATAAAATATTACATTTTTCAAATATTATGGTGTGCATGTGCTGTTATCTTGGACACCAGGTTTTCCAGTGATGAAGTCTAGGAGTGCTCTCTAGGTTTAAACACAGACACCTGCAGTTAATCTGAATAATGTGTGTCAAAGAAAGTGCAAAATGTGCTGTGATTTCTGCTGAGGTGACAAAGCTGTAAGACATGAGCCCCATCTGCATCATTAATAAATCCTCCCAACTATCTGACATTAGACTGATTCCCTTTAGATAAGTCATAATCGTGTTATCTTTGTAGGCTGTCTGATTGTAACATTGAGGTCTTGACTTCATAAAGCGCACCCTTTCCTTTACAGTGATGCTCTTTGCTGCTTTATTAACCGGGTTTCGGCCAAATTGCTCAAGGAAGGGCAATACAAATGATTAGCTTCTCCTTATGTGAGGGAGCTACATAAACATCTGATTGTAAATTGTGATGAGGATGATGGCTAGAAGTTACATTTGAACGTTGGACCGCTTTGCCATCAGCAGTTCACATTGATTTTATTATTTGGGGGCCTCTCCCTAGTTTTAAGGTTTTGTCAACTTAAATGGTTTCCCTTTGGCGTTTACTTTCAGCCTTTGAAAAGAAAAAACACCCCTGCACATTACGGTACTCTTGCTTGGCGTCATCAATTTATTAGAAAACAATCACGTTTCAGTCCCTCTGAACCCGTGATAGTTTGATGTCCTACATACCCTCTTCATGAGATAGTTGGGATTTTCAAACACCTCATTGAAGCAGCCTAAAAACATGTCCATGCTGAAATTGTGTTAAAAGACGACATTTCAATATGACCACAGGGATTATTTGTATTTTGGTTGAGTCGCCCTGACAAGTTCAGTGCCTCTGTTATATATGCATTTGAAACACTTTGTAATTTAAGAGTCTGTAACTTTTGACAACAGAAGGAGCTGAAAGATAAATGTACCTGTTGCACTCTGCTCGGGTCATCCAGCTGCAGCTTGGCAATGACACATCCGGGCTCCAGTGCTGCTCCAGCCCTCTTCACATAGTGAATACAACCAGACTCTGCAGCTGTGAGGGTCATTACCATCTTCATGACCTGAAACATACAAGTAAACAGTTTGTATCATTCTAAAATCAAAGAAAAATGCAACGATTTGAACTACGGGTCATTCACATTTTCTCGAACACAATGTACCTCTATTTCAGCATAGCACTGGCCAGAAAAAACATGGCCGCCATCCTCAACCGTGTACTGGATGAGCTTTCCTGCTGAAGGGGATCGCAGCAGCGAAGGATCATTCTCCCTCTCAAAAACACAAGTCTTGTTCCCGATGGTGATGCGATACCTGAAGAACACAAAACATATTTTGTCTTTGAAGGAACGGAAATCAGAAGTCACAAGTACATCAAGTAACTCCTATACAGCTGACTGAAGGTATATCAAGGTAATTTGCTAAATGAAGACATGTCAATTCACAATACAGTATTCAAAAGCTTTGTGTCCTCATACCTGTCCACCTCCTCCTTCATGTATGTGGTATAGCTGCTTCCATCATAAGACAGCAGAAGACCTCCATCACTGAGACGATGGACGTCCACCTCGGCAGAGGAGTGGTTCATGATGACCACGTAGGAGTTGGGAGACTGTCGGGTCACTTTCAGGACGTACTTTGTGCCTTCATAGATCAGCTCCGCTTCCACAGTGTTGAGGAGTGTGTGAGCAGGCAGCACCTGACCCCTGTTCAGAGAGAAAAAAAGAGAGTGTTTTGTTTTCTCTTCAAACCAACACACGTTTGGTTTCTCCAATGACCATGCTGGATTCTTACCTTTCCAGAGAATGCAGGAAGTTGGAGACACTGTTCCTCAGATTGACGTCTGCCACATGAAGAGCCCCGCTAACGATTCCCAGCATGGTGTCGGGACGCTCCGCCTGCACAAAAACAGATATCTTACTTCTTATCCAGGAAAATCACTATGCCAGGGGGATGAAGATAAGATAAGATCCAACAATGATCTCTTGTATTTTGCTCAAAGAGTATCAAGTGACCACAGCTGGAAAGCTTCTGTATACCTGCATCTTCTCTGAGATGAGCCGGTCCAGCCAGCCAGTGTCAATGCTGTTGTGCTGAAAGCTTTCAGTCTCCAGCAGCTTTATGAGGTATTCCACTGTCGTCCTAAAGTCTCCTCTGATAGACAACTCCTTCAGAGCCACCACCATGTTACTAAGATATGTTTAAGACATAAATATGTCAACTTAAACCTCTGTTACAGTAATTGAGAAAGCTTTATGACACAACAGGGGTTTAGAATCCCTGTATGTACTCACGAGATGGCTTCTTCCCGATTCTCTCCCCAAGAGAAACAGTGTCCAAACTGGGAGTCAGCAAACTCATGCAGCCCTCCAGCAGCTGCGACGCTGAAGTAGCCCCACACGTTCTTATTGCTGCGGAAATTCAACTCTTGCACTGTTCCAGAACTCGGCTTGAAACCCTGCAATAACACAACATGTCATGACTTCGAGTGAACAAAAGGTTAAAGAGACGATTTGACCTTTGGAGAAGTCAAAACAGAGGCTTTTATTTATGTCACAACAGGATTACCAAGTGGAAAGTGTAATAAGAACAACCACAACAGAAATCAGAGACTCTGTGTAACCTTTAGCTGTACATATTTTGTATGGCAGCCAGAAGGGAGGGTGGCCCACCTCGTCAGGATTTTCACTGGTGATACGTGCTGCGATGACATGGCCCCGGGGGGATGGTGCTGTCGACAGTCCCTCAAAGTCAATGGGAGAGTCTCCCCAGGGCTGGACCCCATAAAGCATCCTGATGTCTTTGATCCTTTGAAGAGGGATACCCATGGCAATCTGAAAGAACACGGTTGTATTAGTATTACACAACTTTAACTGCACATTGCGTCACACACGTGACAGTGTTCATTTCAGCAGCTATTTGAGTCTTAAGACAATAATGCTCGTACGTTTTAGTCACATTGCAGTTATTTTTACCCTTGGTAGTTTTAAGTTTAGTTTTAGTCGAGGACAACTCAAAACCACAGACCAAGCAAAAAAAAAAAATCTGGGTGCACTGATGGACTCTAAATTTCAATAGTCAAAAAAAGACAATGACAAAGTCAGTAGAGGACTTAAGACTCAAGAAAATGTGTCCATGCTTTTATCTTCAGTCGACTTGATTACTGTAACAGTGTCTTTAGAGGTCTCCCTAAAACATCAGTCAGCCGCTGCAGCTGATTCAGAACACTAGGACTGCTAGAGTCCTCACTAAAACGAGGAAAGTGGATCACATCACTCCAGTTCTGAGGTCTTTGCATCAGCTCTCTGTCTGTCAGAGAATACATTTTAAAATACTGCTGCTGGTTAAGCGCTGAAAGGTTTTGGGGCCAAATCCCATCAGGGACCCACTGATTAGCTTTAAACCATCATGGTCCACATCACTCACATTGTCTAGGACAGGTTTGCTCTCAGTCCACAGAGTGAGAAACAAACTTTAAGAAGCAGCGTTCAGTTTCTATGCTCCACACATACTGAACAAACTGAAGACTCGTGTTTTTACACCTGCCTTTCATTAAACTATTTTAAAAGGTTCTATATGTAACTTTTTACATGTATAAATCGTTTCTTATCGACCATTAATAAGTGAACGGTTAACTGATGTGAAAAACTAGATGTTCACTGTCTATCTGTGTTGCCTGTATACAATTTTTCCCCCGGGTTGTATTTTCCGTGAAAGCTCCAGGAAGTGCCATTTTATGCACGTTCTCAACGTCCTCCTCACTCCGCTCCGCTTACAGAGATCAACGGTACAAACTCATCACACACTCCTGCTCTCAGCCAGTGCCTGCAGAGACTGTCATTTGTAGGATGGAGAATGAATACAGACACACAGACTCCTTCACAGACTTTCACTTACCTCCTCTGTAAACATTATGTCAGTAAATATCCAGTGTTACGCGATGATGATGCTCGTTTGTGTACGTACGAGCACGCATGACGAGCACGCGAGGGAGAGCGAGCAACAGGTTACTGGTGCAGTTTGCCTAACGACCATGCGTTTTTTTTTATTTTTTATCTGTATAACTCTGAACTGTAACTTTGACTCTTATTTTTGTATAACTCTTTTTATATTTTAGCTTCTTTTATTTTTTTTCTTCCTCTCTTTGATTTATAGGTTTAGTTTGAATGATTTTAAAATGTCCTCTCGTCATATTTTTCAATAAAGAAATTGACACTGATATGTGGACTCGATGTATTTGCTCCGAATGATGACATGCTTATCTGATATTTGTTATGTTTTCAGTTTTATGCACAACATCTTGTAGAGAGATAGTGAGTCCTGTTGTGACCCCTCATCCTCTCTGCCGGACAGTGTGTGTCACTCACACTGTAACACCCAATCAGCTTGACTACAAAAGCTTTCCCAGCCGTGCTGCCCCTCAGCTAGACTGCCACTGACCTATTTACACACAATCCCGAGCTCTGCAGTTCACACCGCGTGACCAAGCACTGTTACAACCACGGCATCGACTACAATGTTTCTGCATATCGCCTCCCTCTTTTGCAGACGGTTGCCATGGTGACAGGGGGCCCCCGTCTAGTGTTAAGCAATGAAGCGTGCTAACTTTGTCTCCAGCAGGACAGTAGTGGACTGTGATGCACTGTGTGTGATGAAACCACAGTGTGCCCTGCAGGAGTGTGTGTGTGTGTGTGTGTGTGTGTGTGTGTGTGTGTGTGTGTGTGTGTGTGTGTGTGTGTGTGTGTGTGTGTGTGTGTGTGTGTGTGTGTGTGTGTGTGTGTGTGTGAGACTGACCTGCAGTTGGGCTGCAGGCAGGTTGACATCAGCGACCATCTCAGTGCAGGGATGTTCCACCTGCAGACGAGGGTTGAGCTCCAAGAAGTAGAAGCTGCCGTCCTGACTGTAGAGGTACTCCACTGTACCTGCACTGACGTACCCGACCATCTTAGCCAGCTTCACTGCACACTAAGAAGAGAACACCACACTGTTCATATCCAGGTTTAATCATCTTCAAGGGTCCATCAATCTGAAGTGATGTATTTTGTCTAAGGCTATATTGTGTTCCTAATATTAAACTGATAAATGGAGAACTGACTTATAAATGTCTTAGCCAATATTTTCTGACTATAGGGGGCCTGACACAAATACCTGTATTTGTGCATGCTGTATGCTACATTATGAAAACGTATTTCACAGAAGACACAATAAGGAAGAGGAATGCTCCAGGTTATTTAGATACAGGAGTTTGTCCAGTAGAGCACACTCCCACTACATAACGTTCTTGGCAGTAGAAGCAGTGAATGAAGTTGAGGAGCACTGCAGCGGGAATACCATAATGTAGAGCCCGACCGATTTATCGGCCAATGTCCACATATCCAGTGACTATCGATGTCAGCTACTTTTTAATGCAGATATTACTAGATTTATTCACCGGTGAAAGAGCATTTAATTTGAGTTTCATTGGATTACACTAGCAGTTCTCTGCGTGGCTGTCACAAGCCGAGTGTGCTAAATGGATTACCACAAGTATTATCACTCTCCAGAGTGTCGAGCACATATATGCGCAGTTACTTTCCAGTTGAGTAACAAAATTGTCTTTGTTTTATGTTTGATAATTACATTTGAGGGGGCAACACAATAAATGTGTACATCTTTCTATCGCTATAGATCGGAAATATATCCAAGAAAGATATCAGCAGATATAACGTATCGGTTTTTTTTTCTTCCCAATATCACTATCGGCCCCAAGAAATTCCATGTCAGTCGGGCCCTATCATAATGTTATAAATAAGTTATTGATTAATGAAGACAGACTTCTGATGACCTTTCTATAGTATTATTGGAGGAAATCAACATAGAGAATGTCTATGTTCATTCCAGCTCAAAAATTACGTAAATCTGCCACCAACGCGAGACACGTTCACCCCCAAAGAATTTTTTGTCACATAGTCCTATATGAACCAGGCTCAAGTGCAAACATTGCTGTACCCTTTCCATATCCTCAAAAATATCAGAGGTGGCAATGGTAGCAGGAGCCTCCTCTATGATTTTCTGGTGCCGTCGTTGTACGGAACAATCTCTGCCAAACAGGGAGATGGCATTTCCATACTGGTCGGCTAAGATCTGGACCTCCAGATGGCGCGCATGCTTGGCCAGCTGCATGACAAAAATAGGCGATCCTGGAACTTCTGCCTGGACCTGGAAAACCAAAGAGAAAGAAAACCCTTGCAGTCTTACAATCCACAAAAATACTTTTGTTTATTTCCTTTGCACCTCTACTGGTACATTTGTACTTTATTCTAGAGAGTCTTAAGTCCTTCCTGATGACTCAAAGAACAGATTTAGTCTCCACCGACCTGTCTGAAGAGGTTTGGGAAATCATCAGCAGAGTTCACTTTACGGATCCCCTTTCCTCCCCCTCCCTCTGAGGCCTTCACCATCACAGGGTAGCCGACTTTCTCTGCCGCCTGGTAATTGAAACATACAACTGTAGCATACATGTACGGTACGTGACAGAACAAGCAACATTCGTTTTGCATTGTGAGCCGTCAGTTAAATCACATGCTTACCTTCATGCCGTCCTCTACATCTTGGATGCAGCCAAGCTCGTACACGTCTAAAGGAACGTTAATGTCCCTCTTCTTCTGGTTGCTCTCTGTCCATTCTACTGTCAGGCCTGGATAAGGTAAGCAGGTAGACATTTCAGCATACATCTTAGGGAAGCTGTGGGATGCAAGTTGTTTAAAAAAAAAAAAAAAAAAAAAAAAGAAATCTCCGGGATCTTATGAAAACAAAAGTAACAAAAACAATCAAACTGTTAAATTTTTGTTGTTTAAAAAAAAAAAAAAAAAAGGATCATAAACAGCCAGAAAAGAAAAAAAGAAAAGGAAAGCTTACGGCCCAACAGTAATTATAACCCACCTGTACCGCTCCAAGGCAGAGTTGGAATTCCAGCTGTCTGAGCAACGATAGACGAGGCGATCTTGTCGCCTAGAGCCCACATCGCCTGACTTGGGGGACCTGAGGAAGGAGAAGAAAAGGAGTAATTTCAGTCGAATAAACTGACAATTAGAAAGTGAGTGATAGGCTCAACAAACCGTGAAAAAGCTTTTCTCACCCATGAAAGCAATGCCATTCTTATGGAGCAGCTCTGGGAGCTTAGGGTTCTCAGAGGCGTGACCCCACCCGGCCCACACAGCCTGCAGGAAACAAGATGAACTCAATCAATGATATAATAATATTCATTGAGGAACACCTTATATACAGACAGAGATCCGGTGTGTTATGGTACCTGAACAGGTATGCGTTTAGCAATGTCCAGTATAAGCTCCACATTGGCATAGTTGTTGTTATTCGTCCCTCCCGGCACAGGCACGTAATGATCTGCCATTTTGATGTACTCTGCAAGAAACGGAAGCACAGACAATCTTTGATACTGCAGGCACAGCTACGATACAAGAGGACTTTCTTTTGAGTTAGCTAAACACAAAAAAAAAAATAATGGACCTAAATTCTGGAGTACTTTCTTAAAGCTATGTAGACTAATGCTGCATTCATGTGCTCATCGGATGGTCCCAGTTTCCGAGTTGGGAAGTCGCTCTTCCAACATCAGTGTGTTCATGTGATTTCAGTACAGAAAGTCGGAATATTGTAATATTGAAAACAGCAAGGAAGCTATGAAGAAGATGTGTGGAATGTCACTGTTACAAGTTATGGATGTGCAAAGCGTGAATTAATAAAAAAGTATCTTAACATTAACAAAACATATTTTTTGACGATTATGATTTCATCGGCAAGTCCGTCACCTAATTTTTCCCCAGAGTTCCCGAGTTGTTACTCCGACTTGAGCAGACGGTTTATCATGTGCAATTTCCAACTCGGAAACTCGCTTTTCCGATGTGTCCGACATCACATGAATGCACCATTAAGCCATGTCTAGCATATTCCGTGTTGAGAGCCACATTATACTCAGACTCACCTGCGTTGGCTTTCAGGTCCTCTGGTGTCACCATCACAACGAAGCGGATCGCTCGTTCATTGCGAAACATCTCATAGGCCCAACGGCGGATGGAGCGCATGCATTTGACCGCTGCAATGCCATTATTGGCAATAAGCACCTGGAGGAGCACAATAGTTGAGCTACGAATAATAATGGCTGATCACAAGATGATGCTGTTTCTATATGCATAAGGACGTCACGTTCTATGAGACGCCCATGTCACGGCTGTACGATGCAAACACCCCCGATCACGGCAGTTATCTTATTGTAGAAGTTGCACACATTACTTGGATTCATTTTACAATGTCATGTGATTTACTCTGCCACACTCAGCATCCTTTTAGCAAAATAGATGTTTTCACCTTTTCAATGACCTTGTTGCCACCGAAGCGGGTGACAAATTCTGCAGGAGAGGCCACAGTGAAGTCCCTTTGGAGGTCAATGCGACGGCGATCTCTGCCTTGCTTCACCAGATGCAGCCCTGACATGCTTGGCCTGTTGCAAAACATACAAAGAATGCATTTTATGGCATTTTGTAACATCTCCAGTTTCAGAGTAGAAAGAACAAGAAAGAACACATTAAAAATGTGTTCGAATCAAACTGCTAGAGGAAGATCATCCCATGTGTCTGGCAAAGGCTTAGAAGTCGGTTTATGTTAACAGCCCAGAAGATATAAAAAAAAAAAACTTGTTATCACCTCTTATAGATAAAGGGGTTGACTACTGTCTCTTATCATGCACTTGTAAGCGATTTACTGCCACCTTACAGATGTCAAAGAACGCCTGAGAACACAACATAGTTAAGATAGGAATGATGGTACTTATTTGCATGTCGTAAAAAGCAGAAGTGTGGGTGGGGGGGGGGGGATCTCAGTGAAAACTACCAGTGTTACCACTGACATCTGAACACTCTTACATTCTTAAAACATGTTTACATGCTCGGGCACGTTTCTCCACCGGCACTTAGCAGTTACCAGTGTATTCAAATGAAACTCAAGCTCCACCTAAAGGGGGACCAAACTGGGGAATGGCTAATACAGGGGGAGGGATATGAGTATCAGCTGGAAGGTGTGGTAGAGGCTGTGCTTGTTTGGCTGGCTGGTGTCTGTGGGCTGATACTGCATTATTGCATCACTGGAGGGGTTACTGGCATGAGGGAAATGAATCCCTAGTGAATGGAGGCTGTAATTTCAACTCAGATGTGGAGCAAGAGTCGGTTCTGTCCTATGAGAGAGATGATAAGGGGGGTGGAGGAGGCAGGAGGAGGCAGGCAGACACCGCCCCCCCCCCCCCCCCCCATCAAGTAAGTCCAGTTTTTTAAAACTGCTGTCCAAGCTTTTCTCAGCCGGTCCTCAACCTTAACCTCCACACCAACCCCTCAATCTCTGCCAAACTGATGATGTAAAACCAGACTGGAAAAAGCAATCATTGACAAAGAGATGATTCTGAAATCGTATGATGATTATGTCAATGTTCAACTAAAAGTGGCTTAACAAATTTGATTCTCCTCACTGGCATGAGAAGGCGGTCGGCAGGATAGGAAAAAAAAACACCAACACCACCCCACGGGATAGCAGGAACATAAAATAATATTTTTAAACAAAAAGTACACGTAATCAGAGTTTTAAAAAAAAAAAGTCTTACCCACTTCAGTCAAGAGGATTTGGGGATAATATGTTACCTACATCAGATCTTATTTGAAACTCTCAGGGCATACCGAAGAGACTGCTTCAAGCTTTATGCAAAAGTCTGTCATCACTGAATAGCTCCTTATGACTTTTTGGTTGGGATTTTTTTTTTTAATACACATATTTCCACCTTTCCAAAACCAACATTTTGAAGTCTAGGCCTAATTTCCAGGACTCCCTCACAGACTCTGCACACAGAGAAACAAAGACACCTTTAGCAGCGTGCACTGCAGCTACTGAAACCACATGTACCCCAAAAAGGAGCACTACCCGGCAAAGGAGGAGGAGTAGATATTATGAACAGAGTGTACTCATGTTGGACTGCTGGGCTGTACTTTCATGAAGATGGAATTTGCAGGTTTTATTTTATATTCACATCTGTATGCTTTACAGCCACTAAGAAACAGTGCAGTTTGATGGATGCATTTTCTGTCTTATTCTTCAAATTCAATGCACTATTTGATTAAGAGTTACCAATTCAAAAATAAATAAATCTTAAATCACAACAGCGACTTCTTATTTTCAGCCAGAAAGAATTGTTATATTTTCAACAAATAGGGGGAATAAATGCAAGAAGCATCCAAATACTTTGGTACAACCTCTCTTCAAAAGTTGGTCTGCATTGTTTGCAGTCCAGAAACGATGCAGAAAGTGGAGGTCTGAATTCTAACCTTAGATTGTGTATGGGCCCATCGATGGAGTCGAACCCCATCTCGTAGGTGCTGTCTGAGCTCCCGGAGGAAGGAGACAAGGACCGGGGCTCCTTGTCCTCCAGCGGCAGGTCGGGCTTGACTGGGATTTCATCCTCCGAGTTCTCCTCCGACACCGATCCCACGATAAAGTGAGAGTGCAGCGCGGCAACAGCGGGGTTCTTCTTGGCAGCACCGTCCTTCTGTGCCATGACTGGACGACACGAACAGGCTGCAAAAACTGTCGAGATGGGGGGGACACACAAAAGTGGCAGCGATAGTTATAGCGGAGACAGAAGGGGGGTTAAAGTCAGTGTGTCACAACACCTGTGTTTCATGCTGTTTGTCTTATTGCAAAAGTGGGTTACATAAACATATGCATCTTGATAAAGCGTTACAACATATTACACCACTTGAACCCACGCGGCGAGCATCAGAACATTGTGTATAGGTTATTGTACTGACCAAAATGGCAATATCTAGAAAACAAGAAAAAAATACTAAGTAGTGTTGACAGTAACTACACATCAACAAGTATGTGAGGCATTATCTCAACCAGGACAAACTGAATCCTCTACATATGTCAACCAGTTCAGTTAAAGACTTGTACTCTATAAAATCTATAATCGATATATAAAGACTTTACCTCTTCCACTTGCTAGATTGCCACAGACGTCCTGAACATTGTATTTAAAAAAAGAAGAAGATGTAAATAAGACGAAGCTGCCACAGTCCTGACTGACATGCGTCTCATTCTTTACGTTGCTACAGTAAAAGTTTTCTACATGCCTGTTCAGGTAGAGAGGTAGAGAGGTAGAGAGAGAGAGAGAGAGATTACTCCCAGGTGAGGGCACACCTTACCTATCGCTAGCTGCTTGCGAGACCAGAAAAACAAGACGAGCACTAAAGCCAGGCACGCTGAAAACGTGAGGAAGGGCAGCATCACAAACCAATACCGAGGACAAAACGAAACTTCAGGATGAAACCATACATATATATATCTATATCTATATCTATATATATAGATATATATATGCTGATAATTTAAAGTCGACTAGGTGAGATTAGATAACAGTCACGGCGAGCTTTCTCCCTCAACATCAGCCTCAAGCTAACAGCATCGTTAGCTATCTCACCGGCAGCTGCTAATACATGTATAATGCCACAGCAAGCACAGCAGCACAGCTGACCGCACTGCAGGTGTTTACTGTACCGCAGCATGCTTCGGGAACCCGGTGCACTTTGTTCAGCGTGGATAAAACGTCAACTCACCGGTGGAGACGTACCGGAGCGTAATCCTGACAAAGTTGACTCCCAGAGATCGATAAGCTAATCGAGTCTTTTAAGACATCTCTCTCTCTCTCTCTCTCTCTCCAAGTCAGGAAGATGAAGAAAAGAAAAAAAAATCACATCATGATGAGGTCACTAGGCTCAGACAGACGCTTAAACAGCAGAGAGTGGGGTGATGTGATGATGCGCACACAGGTTACTATTGGACGATGACCTCTGACCGTAACTTCCGCTATAGAAATAGACAAGGTAGAAAAGACCGCACAGTCAGATGGTTCGCCTATCGGTGCTTCAGAGAAATATATGAATGAAATGAAATTTAACAAATAAAAGAATACTATATGAAGTATATATCTATATGAATACACGTACAATAATATGTATTTTTTTTAATTGCATGAATGTAATATAAATACCTATAAGAAGTATAATGATTGTGTTGTGTAGAAGATTGGAGGTTAAGGGGATGCACTTTCTTTTCCAGCTAAAACAATACACAAATGTCACGCAAATTTTTCTTATTCCTAAATCCTTATTTTCTTATGTATATAATACAGAAAATGTAACATTCACAATCTTTCATGAACAGTTCCTCTTAATATTCCTTAAATATACTTTCTTCTTAATTATACTGGCGTGATAATTAGATATAATTCCTAATTTTCCATTAATGTATGCATTTCCATAGCAATAGTATTATACATACAATGCTAGACGTATGATACCAATTACTATCTTCTATGCAATTTGTGAGTCGTATTTTAAAAAACATGTGTTTTACATTCCTTTATTCTGTACACTTGATTACAACTATTTATGTTCTGTTTAATTTTTTTCCTTACATCCATGGATGTCTTCATGTTTCTTTGCGATATCTGGCGTGGTTAGGATTTCTCCATTGGCATTGTAATGTCACAGAAGGCCCCTTATCACTTGAGAATTATCTTTAGTCAAATAATCTAACATTTCCTGAACTACTTTTTATTTATTGGTACATTTTTAATAATACCTACATTGGGATTTACATGTTCTATTTAATGTATACTCAATCTATTGAATATAGATCTAGGAAGGTCTAATTTTTAAGAGAGCCAATCAGACTCCGGAGGATGTGTTGTGGGCGGGGTTTACAAGGCCACGAGAGGGGCACGTCTCGGAGGAGGTAGTCCTACGTCGTGCATGTTGTGCACGTGCTGTTATATGCCAAACCTTTCTAGTTCCTCGCAGAAAGCGCAGCTGAACTTCACTTGTGTTTAAAAAAAAATAACGATTCATGTCCATGTCTTCACTCATCATTTGCTTATATTTGAAACTTGTAAGCGTGGCTTATCGAGAGGCTATTTAACTTCAGCTGTGCCGTGCCGGTGTTAACACAGCAGCAAGGACAACGCCTCGAGTGCACTCAGTAATCTACTGTGCTTATGTCAAAAATAGTTGAGGTGAAATGATCAGAGGCTCTACCGTATCAGCTTCCAAGTATCTGCCAAAGATAATTATTGCAACAAGATAATTCACTTAGCTTACAGATGTTTACTCAAATAACAGAACAGTGGCAAATAGTGTTACATTTCCAAGATCCAATCAATTTGATTAAACCTCCGCAGTTATTTTTTTTCAGTGAAAAAGGGGCATTTCTTAGTTAATATCCTTATTATTCAAACATGAAATAATACGTAAACAGCACCTTGATTATAAATACAACAATCAGGAAAGTTTTTTTGGTAATCCAAACAGGCAACTATGTAGAAAAAGAAATAGTAGCCTATATAAGAAAATATAACGTGCAAAAATGTATGCCACTTAAATGTCTACAGGCATTGGAGCCAAGTAAAAAAAAAAACATATGCAAATATAACAACATTGTGGTGATGGTCAGCTGTTTTTCAGTTGATTTGTAGAGGAATGTTGCTCTCCTGTCCTGAGAGGCGAACCTTACAATGACACTCATATTGAAGTCAAAGAAGTTTCTCCTCTGAAAAGAACGACATGAGCGTTAAGATGATCCAGTTTTATTGTCTCCCAGGCAGGTCTTCATCCTATTCAATGTATCAAACTCTACAGCAGTTCATGGTACTTGAGTACTGCTCTGTTGGAACTTGCCATTATTCAACCTGGGGCACACCACCACTGTTGTTTCAAGCTTCCTCCGGAGAGTTCAAACTGTGTTTATGGGAACAATTCCTCATGCGACAATATGGTAACAGCAGCTGGGATAAAAAAAAAGTTGACATATTATGACTGTGTTTGGTTGATTGTCTTTTTCAAATTTGATAATTAAGACAAGGTAACTAACACATGATGGTTACCTTTACAAGGTAGCCCCCTCACCTCTGTAAACTGCCAAGGAGACAGTCCTAAAGAAAAGTAAGTTATCACACCAGAAATTGCAATTTCAGCAATCACAACTAAAAAGCAAACTCACAAAAATATTTAGGTCTGATATGTAAGATTTATGTATTTTAATTGCATATAAAATTTCCATTCATTTTTATTATACATTTTTTTACATTAAACAATGTAATAAACTTTATGTGATTCACATGTTTAAGTCAAACCTTAATGAAATACAAGAGCTTTATGCAGCTTTAGATGGACCATCATTAAAGGACAAGATGACCAAATGACAAAGGTACAGTTAAATGTAACTGTCTAAAAGTAATGATCCTTCTTTTCTATAGGGTAAGCTGCAGGTTAAGCTGCATAGCTTGTCGTGTGGAATGCAGTGAAAGTGCACGCTCAGCAATCAGAAAACAAGTTCTTACACATGTAGCAATGTGTCCATGCTTTGCAACCTTGTGCACTACTTTGTTCTCGGATTCTTCTCATTCTTCATTGATAGCTGCTCTGATTAGAAGTGGTTAGAAGTGACTGCTGCAAATAAACATTGTCAAATAAATATTTGCTCTAACTTCTAAACCAACACTTCCTTTTTTTTCTTTTTTTTTTTAACTAAAACGTATATAGTTTCCATAAGATACTTTGTGTGGTGTGTACAAAAGGCTACATTAGCTACATCATTTCTTATGGCACACAAAATCAAAACAGACCAGTCAAAAATGAATAACTGAGGTTATTGCACCCATAAAATGTTAGACCATTGCTGAAGTGTCACCAGAATAATGTGAGAAACAGTTAAAACCTAACAGTACACTATCCATCCGCTAGTTTACGTCTTTATCAAAATTGTGGTGTAATTACAACTAAGGCCCACTAGATGGCTTCAGAGGCTATTCGTTGAGAAAATGTCATTGCGCTCGAGGAATGTCCACCGTAGCGGTCGTCTAGGAACAGATTGGTCATTTCATTGTTGCTCCATCCACTTGGTCTAATCCAGCTCCTTTACCTGTAGGATCTTTTTGCAGAAACCAGACTATAAGTGTCATTGTGTTGGGTGACATAAACTGTCACTTTTGAAGAGGCTGCTTTATTGTGACAGGCCCAATTATGCCTGCACTGCAATCATGCCTTTTCATCAACATCTTATTGTGCCCTATGTGTCAGGTGGATTTTTCTTATACAGATGTTTTTATACATTTATGAAAGAAAAAACCCTCAAATAATTTAATTTATTAAACTCACAGGGGCAAATGAAAGACTTGCGTTTATAGTTTTATTTTATATGCTGCCACAATTGACTGGAAGACTGGCTGATGTCAATGGTGGTGAACGATGCATCGTGATTGGCTGCTGGAATTTTCCTTAACACAAGTAATCTGCAATAACAGCAAACTAGGTGTGCTTGATTTGGCCGAATTCCCGTTGCCTTACAAAACAGGGGATTCACTTAACACATCTGAAATGACGGGGTTATCAAATGTCCATTAACCATTAAGAATGAACAAAAAAAAATAATAATTCTGTTTTCCTGTATATTTTCCTCAGCATATCAATCAGCTCCCCTTTTTTTGTAGTTTAGCAAACTGATTCACCTCTCCTCCCGTCATCACTACACCTTTTTTTTTTTTTGTATCTGTATTCTTCCAAAGCCCTGACAGAGACACTCTAGTGCTTTATTCATGATAACAGAGGCTTTCGCATGATATCCCTGTTAAGAGCATTATTCATATTGTATGCTAGACGACTATGTAGTGTCTTTGAACCATCTGTGTTGACATTTGTATCCCAGCTCTTTCAAGCACTTTGCCAGGAAACTTAGCGCAGCAATATGCTGAAGTATTCTTCCAGCATCGAGGGAAATGTAAGTCTAGATTCACAAAGTAGCTTTGACACGGTGTAATGCAAAACAGAATGATTAATTTAGAAATATCATCTGAGCTCTGCAGGCTTATGGACGTGTCGTGAGTGGAGTCACCTTTACAGTTGCAGCACTTTGTGTTTCAAATGAATATCTTTAATGTCATAAAATTACTATTCTGCACAAAATAAATTATAAGAGAAATATTTAAGTCCTATGTATACCTTCTTTCTTCCTGTCATCTTGGCAAAACAGGAGGATATAGGTGTTCTCTCCAAAGACACAGAACGTTCCAGGGAGGGAAGTTTTCCTGCGGTCTGTAGAAACCTTGCAGTTGACCTCCTCGCCACATTTTTTGGGCCCGTAGAGATTTTGTTTTAGAACAACATGACGCTCAGCCGAGAGGAAGAAAATACACACACAAAAAAGGTTTTGAGATAAGACTAGCCTATGGGAAAGAGAGGGGGGAGGGGGACTTTTGGATCAATTTTTCTCCAGGGAAACCAGCTGACCTTTTTTTTTTTTGTACACGCAGCTACAGTGAAAGAGGTAAAGCTTTGAATGTCAATGAAAATTAAAACATTGTTTGAACAGTTCAAGTCTTTAAAATGGATTCCATTTGAGCAATATTATCTTTGACTTCACTCTAAATGGACCTGGAAATATAATAGAATTGTCATTTGCCACTCAGAGAAAAAGTTGACTGTATTTTTGATCCAGTATTTTTTAAGTTTGCTTGTGCATATTATGTGCAGATTGCAAACATATTTATGACACAACTTTCACCAATGTCAAGGTCAAGTTCATAGTTATTTATAGGGTGCTAAGGTTTCGTACCAAAGTACCTCACGGCAAGCAAAAAAATTAACTTAACAAAACTATTTAGAAAGCATTAAAAGATAAACTAAAAGATTGTTATAAAAGAACACATTAAATGAAGAAATAAACATTGTGATCACCCAAACAGACAGACTGACACTAACACTATTACAATGTATTGCACCTAAGATTAATAAAGATGATTTACTTTATCAGAGTTATTTGCTCAAAGATTTTTTCTCCTTTTAATTGGCCTCCTATTTGTGTTAGGTTAAACATTCACAACGTTTCTTGTTGTCTTGGGAAAAAAATCCCCAGAGCTTGAGATTTTCATTGCTTCAGAATTGAATAACTTGTCAACGGTTTTTATAAGTGACTCCTTTATAAAAGCACAGTATTCCCCCGTCACTTGAACATCTAGTTCTGGCTTCTCACTTGGGTAGCTCTTCCCAGCACTGGGTGATTCATCCCTGCTGGTGTCAAACTGGACAAACCATCAGATACACTGCTAGCCTTTATCAGTCTGTGTCCCTCAGTGATGACCACATATTATACTTTGATGTATTGAATTTGGATTAAGTTCAATGACAAGGGATTTATTGGTACTTTTTAAAATAATACCTGCAAAATATGTGCAAACTGACTTTTGCAGATATATTAGAAAACAAACTCGATATCAAAGTGATTGGAGTGTTCTTCTCCTGATTCAACAGTGCTGTGCAGTTAATCACTATTTCATCTTTATCATAATAAATTAATGGATTATGATCATTGACTCATTTCAGAAATAAACATATTCCAATCTGACTGATACAGTCAGATGGAGCTTCATTTTGCCATCTGATACCCTCAGATTCATTTTTGCTGATTCAGCCCAATCCAAACCCCTCCAGCTGCTTTTCATTCTGCCCCATATGAACATGCAGCATGTACAATCATGTAATCTTTGCATCTCCATATTTAAACAAATCTCAAGTGTTGTGACGGCCATACTCTCCTGAAAAGTCAGAGAAATGTTTCCAAGTTTTTAATATCAACTATGAGGGTTAATATGAGTGTACTCCATGTAAAGTTTTTTTTTTAATGCTAGAGCTTGAGGTGAGGTACAGACAGGGGGATTAGCAACTCAAGTGTGGCTTTGCTGTCACAAGCAGAGATGTTTTGGGAATTGCCCTTGTAAGCAGTGAGCTCCACTCATGCATACAAAATGAAAGTGCACTGAACTGGCTCATTCACCTTTATTGCTCAGCCACCATCGCTATGGCCAAGGGCATGGCGGCAGCAGCAGCAGCAGCAGCGGTTGCATGGGACAAATTGAAGCACACTGTAGTGATGCTTCAACAACTACATATAAACAATGAAGTACCTTAGTGTCACATGTTTCTTCAATTAAAAACAGTTATCAATGTTTGCTGTAGAGCAGAAGCAGGTAGCAGTGCCAGGCCACTGTCAAAGATTACGTTACTTCAGAAGGTGGAGGTAATGGAACTCACAGCCACTGTGGCCTAGGGAAGCCTTTAGAGTGTCGTAAAAGATGACCAGAGTGATTAGTGGTGTTAAAAGGGCAACCAAGGTATATCAGAAAAGGACATAATTAAGGATAAGGATAGCTCTTACGGATGAAGTTGCATAAACTCAGAGGATTACAGGTTAAGGATAAGATCCAGACGGATCCTGATCCACACTGGAGAATTGAATCCAGTCCAACTCTTGTGACTTCTAAAACAGGCTAAGCTGTACGGATCCAATGTGTTTACATACAACAGTCAATACGAAAATATTTCCGACAAGATTCAGTTTGTTCTTTTTGCTTGGTATAGAGTTGTTTTGACAGTGAATGTAATCTAACTTCTTTCTTCTATACTACATCCATGTATTCTTAACAGATTAAACACCTCAAAATGTGAACAACGTCTTTATTTCAACTGTGACAAATTCCAATAAAATCACAAAAGAAATGTACCTGAATAAATTGGCAGACAACCTGCCAGAATACATTTGCCAACAAGTGCTCTTTAAAAAATAAAAGACTCCTGAGTTTTTTTTCCCCTGTAAGTCCACGGTGCAGCTTTGGTACATCAACACGTACTGTAGTGTGAAACTGTGAATCAGTGGAACACAACTTCCTGTTCATATCTGTAGCACATCATCATCAAATCATCATTTAGAGCAGTCCACTTTGGGTGTTGAATTTGGATATAGCTTGTTTTCCTCAAAGGAATTTTTGAAGAACTTCAAGAACTTCCAGTAAGTATTGTTTTAGTGTTTGATGACATGGTTTAAAATGGGCTACATTTAGTCTAAGATGTGACATTTTCTAAGTGACATAAAAGCACTACTTCAGAACTATTGAAATGACTTATGGTAACATGCTTCCCACTGAAAGAAGAACACATTATGATACCTGGTGATAATAAATACATCTAGGTACCTTCTGAGCAGCGAATCCCCAAATCCATGATGATATGTTAAAAAAGAAAATAGCAGCAGACATGCAATGTCTGACAAAATAAGTGCTTCTAATGTGCAGCTTAAACTTGTTTGTGTTTATCACCCAGAATGCATTGTGTGTAATATAAAAATCAACATCCAGGAGAGTCTATTGTGAAGGAAGTGGTTTACCAAATTGCCTAGCTGGATCCTGTAGGCTTTGCAGTTCCTTAATGGACTCTTTGACAATAGTTTTAATCGGAGCCGTCTTCAGCTTGACCTTGGTTCTTTCACTCGGGTTCTCAGTCACTGGACTGGACTCCCTGCTACCAGATTTGGACAGCTCAGACAGGGAGTTTGAACTCGCAGGTGATCCGGTTGTAAGCAGGTTTTGGCATGAGGCGGCAGAGGTGGGGATCTGATAAGGGTTGAACCGTAACCAGGGCTGGTGGCTGCGGAAACAGTGGTTTCTGGCCAGTGTGGAGGTTGCGGAGCAGGTGGGGAGAGCTGGAGCAATGGCAGCAGGTGCCGCCATGTAGCGGTACGGATAGGAGAGCAATCCACCGAAGGGCGACAGCGGGATTCCCTGTATGAAGAAATACAAATATCAATTTTCCTTCTGCTGCACCATGGATTGGTTTTTATCCTCTTTATGTCATGAAAAGCCTTGCAAAAATAAAAGTGCCTTTGAATGTTTAGCCTTCATTCAAAGGCACTGAAACTGGTTTAACACCAAACATGGAAAAGAGAAATCACACAACAAACAAAAAGTTAAGCTGCAATACCAGGCTTGTGTTTGAATTTAAAATCTGATATGGTGGCGGAAATGCCATCGTTTTATTTATCCAATCCTATGAGATTCTACTACACAAGATCCATTTACATAAAAACAACAAAACCTAGTTTAAACTGCTTGTGATCTCTTTTTAAGGGACAACATCTGTTTTTAGATTCCCCCGTCGCAGGTTACTAACGAGACGTTCAGCTGAGCAGCGCTTTTACCTTCCAAGATTTAAGAATGGGCAGAAAAAGAAGAAATATCGTGTTCATCTTGCTGCCTTTTTTTCTTTGTCTTCACCTCTTGACCACTTAAAGCCCTCGGGCTATTGTCTCAGAATGAAATATCAGTTGCTGCTGTAGAAATAGTTTGAGGCTTGTGCTGCAGCAACAGATCGACCCTGCAGTCGTACAGTTCCGACTGTTTTCCTAACCTGACCTGACCTGAGTTAACTTCAAATCAGTGCCACATTATACAACTTCCAGAGACTGACTTCGGAAAACTGGCATGAACTGTTTGTATTTTTTTTTTGTATTAGTGTAAATATCAGTCTAGTTTAAGACACACCATGCTTTATCAATGTAATATAGTCCAAGCAAAGTGATTACATCTTGTTGTCTTTTTGTTTTGGATAAAACTGATATTTCATCAGAGGAATACTGTGTAGGATGTTAGGTCTATAGAACCCCAAGGCAACTGTATTAACTTCATTACAGATGTGATTTATACATTAAGGTAATCTCACAATGTCATTTAACGATCTCAGATATACACAAACCGCCTTTCATATTTGTGTTGTACATGTTACCTTTAAATAGAAATACTAAGAGCTCATTAGAGTCACAACCCGCTTTGGAATCCAACAGAGAGCGCTACTCTACTCTACCCAGAACATTTAAAGGGCCAGTTCAATTACAAAAAGAGATATAACCTGCGAGACTGGACACCTTTGAAAAGATTAAATATTTGTTGCATACTCATACACCGGATTTTGGATTTGACACTTTAAGGAGCTAATATCCTCACATTAAGATATCTGTCTGGAAAGTGCATTGAATTAAGAGTAAACTTGACATATAGTACTCCTGCTTAAGTGTACCTGAGATGCCAGCATGTGCTGTGACAGGTGAAACATGAACGGAGATGCAGAGGTGAAGCTTTGAGAAGAAAAGCCTCCGTTCTCCGGGTTATTTACTCCGGGCAAAGAAGAAAGCAGATGTCCCATCCCAGCGGCGGGAAATACCTCTGGCTTCATCGACAACTGTCCAGGATGAAGCAGCAAAGGAGCCCCTAGCTTAAGGAACTGTTGTTGCCTGTGCACGCTGGAGAAATCCAAAGTCTGACGCTGTGCGGCACTGAGGGACGACGAGTCCTGCAACAGCATAGGCTGGGCGCCATCTTTGATTTCACTCGTGGGCTTTTTTGAAGCCTTGGCTTCCTTAGAGGACGAATCATCTGATGTCCTGAAAATTGTTCTTTCTTTTATTTTGTCGTCACTGCCAGGGCTCTTACTGACAGCAGGTTTGGTTCTCGGCATCTCCTCGTTTTTTTTGCTGAAAAAAGACACACGCTCAGTCCTTGAACAGCCCACTTCAGCAATTTCCACATCCCGATGGTCCATATCTGAATCACTTCCAATATTGTTGTCATCTGTGGGGAATAAAACATTATGCTTGATAAATGTATTCATAGTTTAAAGTATGAAGAGCAAACCTTTCCTTGCTAGTTATGTTAAATAGAAAACAGAGGAGGCAGAGGTAAAACAGCCTTGACAGAAGGATGTCATCTCAGGGCACCAACAAGACAGCAGCCCTGTGTGACTTATCTGGAGGCGCCAGAGACTAACAGTTGATTCATTAGTGCCAGCTATTTCTGCTCTGTCAAATTGAGTCATAAAGTAAATTAAGGTTAAAGTCTACGCGTAAACAACTTCCCTTCCTATTTTCGTCGCTCACTTTAGCTGCCATCCTATGTCTTGAGTGGATAAGATAATGTCACCACAATGTCCCCGGGTCACTTCCAGCCGGAGACATTTCCTGAAAGTCTCTTTCACCCCATGATGTCTGTATGTGTCATCTCCTCCAAATGTGGGTGTCATCTCATTGGTAAACGTTTATTTTTCACCCTTAAGATGAATGACTTAATCTAGGGCTAAATTACTAGTTTATGAGGACCGAGATATTAGCTTGAAAGCTAATAAAAAAATGTAAAAATTAGATTTTTGTCAGTCAGTCAGTTGTAATTAAAGAATAAAATACTATAATATATCAAAATTGGTGATGGAATTTTGATTTTTTTTCCCCCCTCGCAACTCAATCTATCTACAGTCTCTTCCATCCAATACTTTTTAAACATACATCCATACATTTCAAATACCCATAGTCTCAAGGGCCTTTCAGATAGGACGCGATGTGCCCTGCTGAGTAGGCGCAAATCAGATGAGGAGCATGCATAAGCAAAGAGTAACTGAGCATGTTGCTAGGTGACCAAAACAATAGTCGGGAAAAGAGTTACTTTCTGGATACACCAGTATGTTTGTATCTGTCCACTATTCAGTAGAAAGCCCTGATATTTTTTATTGATGAGGAGGAGGAGACGAGCAGCAAAGAAGGAGATAGTGTGTGTGTGTTCATCAAATCCTCAGGGCACGACAGGATATGAGGGAGTTTAGGCTCGTCCGGAGCTGCAGCTCTATAACGACCGCATCCATACAAAACACACATTTCTACTGCTGTTTCAAACACTGTGTAGGCCTAAACTGTTGCACATTTCTTTTCAAATCTAGAGCTTTCTCACCGACGTCCCGGTAAGTCTTGTCAACTAGAGCTCAGGAAAGTAGTACACCGTTTGTTGGTGATCTGATCCTCCCTCCTATTGGAATGCGCGGAGGTGACGTCACCGAGCGCTGCGCCCATGTTTAACTTTTTTAACGCAGTGCGCAAGAACGGCAAGCGCGACCTTGCGCTGCGCTAATCTCGTTGGGGGCGCAGATTCTACGCTGTAACACATTTAGGCGATTAGTGGATGTGACAGCGGCCTATATGAACGACCCGTTAGAGTACATCACCTTCAGGGACCTGAGTTCACTTCTTGGAAAGCCTCCAATGTGTCCTAACAGGACAACAATGTCACAGTAGGACATGCCCAAGTGTAAATAAGACCATTATTGGTGACTTAATTCCATTAAGTGTCTCAACTCAGGATCCAGATATTGTGCATGAAAGCTTACCGTCACACTTTAATGGCTTAGTGCAACACTTAAATAGAATAAAGCCTTTGTTAATGTCATTAGTAACACCTGTTCTTCACTTACAGTAACAAGCCTGCTTTGTAAAAGGTTTTTATACAAAGTCTTAAACGGCTGGATGAATGTTCAGATGAAATCCTGTTGTAATGGATTTAGGGATGTCTGAATATACAAATCATCTTCATGAAGGCTGCATGCTACATGACACAACTTAACCACCTTGACGTGTTGGTGTGGACAGCTCACGAGGGGAGTGGAACTGATCCCGGGTAGTGGGTGGCTCACATGAGTCATCAGATTCAGCACCTTCGTGGTCTGCTTTGCCCTGGGTCTCATGCAGTGGATAAATGGTGAACTGCTTACTCCTGCAAATCATAAATTAGTAAAAAAAAAAAAAAAAAATGACTCCATGACAGTATTTCTTTATATCTGTACAACTGCAAGTATTAATGGCAAAACAAATACCTCTTTTCACGCCTTCCATTCCCAGTGTCTCGGAAGCCTTTAGCAAAGGGGTTGTTGTCTATTTTAAGTTGTGTAATCTTGTGAAATGAAAGAAAAAAGCAGCTCATTAGGGCCCAGCGCTGAGGCATCTCATTTAAGCCCCGGACAGGGACCCTTAAATGTATCAATAAATCATAGTCACTGCAAAAGTAGTATCATGCATGCATGCACAGGTTTACCTTTTCGTTCTGATAAGCGGTGACAGCGATGAACTCTGTCTCCGGGAAAACGTAAGTCCTAAAGGTGCTGTAAGGGAGCTTCATTATGTCGTTAGCTCTCACGATATGGAATCTGGGTTGGTATTTATGCATGGAATTTAGTATTGTCTAGAAAAAGAAAGAAAGAAAGAAAAATAGAGTCAGAAACAAATACAGGCCTGGTCAGTTGGCTAATACATTACAAAATGACATTAAAAGTTGTATCTTTGAATAAAGTCAAATCTATTCACAGTGATGTCATCTTGACAAGCTCGGCATCAAATATGATGAAATGGATCAGCCTATCAACAACAAGTTACAATTAAGTCTGAAATTAACACTTACAAATCCATGTTTATCTGAAATGTTATTGGTGAGTTTGAGTTTATGGAACGCCACAGGCTTGCTCATCCACTGCTCTCCTTTTGACGGGCTGTCTGGGTGGATGTACATGCGCTTTGGCATCTCTGGGTCAGCTTTTCCTGCCACCATCCAGCGAGAATTGTGAAACTTGTAGCGGCAGTCATCCACAGCCACTATGTCCATGAGCAGGATGTACTTCGCTGTTTCATCCAGGCCATCCACCCGCACTTTGAAAGGTGGAAACATCCTCCTGAAGAAGGAATAATGACACATTTCTTGATTGGTATAGGCTAGAAAACTTGGATTTCAGGTTTTGGTGAGGATGTTATCTTTCTGGGATTTTGCTCATTCGAGGTTGGGAAATACACAGGTTGGGAGAAAAACACAACTGTGAGATCATAGCAGGAAAATGTATCATCACGGCCCTGTCAAAACCTGAGGACAACCAGCGGAACCTGAACGCAATTTAAACACACACACAAACAAAGCTACACTCAAACGCAATTTAAACACATGCACACATACAAACTCAAACACACACAAAATCGACACACAAAAAGGCACAGACACAGGACACTAATATTAAACACACACATGCACAGCCACAGACACACACAATATAAAACAATAAACTACACTTTTTTATCTTAAATTTCTTTTTGTACTATTTTTGATTTTATATATGATTATTACTCTTGTTATAATATAATTATTGACTATTATTGTTAGTATTTAATTATTAATTATTACTATATTTTTGTTTTCGTATGCTTTGGCATGTCTTTCCACATTCATACCAAAAGGTTTACTGAACTGAAATGAACTGGATGGGAAATAAAACGGTCAGATTAAAGAACAGGAATGTAACTTTTTAAAAGCTTTACTACACTTTCAACAGAGCAAAATATTGAACCGGTGTAAGGAAAGCGCCCCTATGATGTCTCAACGCGTCTCATAAATCACAAACGTGATTTTTAGGCTCCTGCTTTTAAAATGTTACTTTGCACCATATTCAATGATTTGTCAGATGCATTTTAGAATAATTACCTTCCTGATTTTGTAATGACCATCTCCGTTCCCCTTTTGTGAAATTCATTCCATAAATTCTGTGAGTCGAGTGTGACTTTGGGGTCGTCATCCTGTCCTTCCTCTGACTGCAGACTCTTTAAGGACCGCGGATGAACTGACGGCTGACGTGGGCGTCCCAGAGCCGCGTGCAGCCCCGCGTCAGACGGAGCCTGCTCCGGAAGAGGCTCGGACATCGAGGCGACTTCTGGGTAAGTCATGGCGGGGAAAAGTGACTGCTGTGCGGCGGTGAAGAATGCTGACAGAGGCAGAGCACCTGGTCGGTGAGGTTGGAAAGGATGATGAGCCATGGCAGCCGCTGTGTAAACTGGATCTCTCATCGGGGCATCCGAACTGACAGGTCGATGGTAGAAAGACTCCCAATTGAAAGAACCCACAAAAACTTTCCGAAAATGTCTCCAGATACTGGTGCAAATGCAAGGATGGAGGAGAGAGCACACTGCAGGACCGTGCGTAAAGCTTGATAAACGCAGCAGTGGCACCGATGAGTGAGGACAGAGGGATGTAAAGTGATGTTTACACACAGTCACACATCTACCCACCCAGCCACATGGTACATTAATGAGCTTTAATTTTCTCACAGACATTCACTGTCCGAACCAATTACAAAGGCGTGGTTTCAACCTCTCAGAGTAACATGCCAAGTAGGCTAGAAAACAAAACAACAAAGTAGGCAGTAGGCTACTACCGAAATTACAGCATAGCTACTTTTAACAGTCTGTTGTTTATTTAACCGAATTTTAAGCAATAGGTAGGCTACACAACCACAGTCAAGGAACACTTTTTAGTATTTTGCTGTTTTTTTATTGATCTTTCCTTATAAAGTAGCCTAATTATGCAAGACTGTAGGCCATACTGAACAATACTAGTCTTATTCAATAATGTTTAAAAATAATTTGAACAAAGCTGTATGCAAAGTGTGCTGACCTTTTGTTTTCAGTGTTGGGGAAAGGGGGGGGTGTCTGTATAGGCTACAGAATAAGAACACACTGGACAAGCTTGTTATACTAGGTAGTAAGATTACTAAGAATCAAATGTGCAGTATTTCATACCTGACAGACCGATACACACTGAATTTATTTAACATGATCACAGCAGGTCCGATGTGAGTATGTACTGTTGACTTCTTGGCGCAGGTAGGCTACAGGATGCCCAGGATGAGGACTAAAAGAGACATTGCATCTTTTGTACTGTGGAGCATTCAGCTGCTTAACAAGCTCTGATAAATTCATACTATCTATAATACTACTTGACATCCCTTACATGTATCATGTGATGTTTTAATTATGTTTTTTTTTTCATTGGTTAGGGTTATGGATTGGCAACAGCTTCCGATGACGCAAAAATCGGCATTTTGCGTCATCGGAAGCTATTACGGTTAGCGGGGTGAAACTACAACGCTAGTTCCTCACATTTCCTTTTCAGACTTAGAAATACAAATGTTTCCCATCTCAGGGGGAAATGAGGGCGGGATGCATGATCATTGAAAAATACTAGCAGGTTTCTAATAATACAAAGCTTAATGCAAATGGGTGAAGTATCCCTTTAATGATAGTACAGCCTACCGTACTGGCTCTCCTCACTAATGTTAACTCGCTCTTCTCTCTCTTGAACACGCCCCGGGTTTTTGATTATCATGGGGAAGTGTGGTAGAACTGTTAATCAAGGCGGACTCGGTGCCAGTTTGTTGGCGTCCCTCAAAGAGTCGAAAGCTCTCTCCTGTCACTTCATATTTAGGTAACTCTCCAAATCCTCAAGTCGCCTGCTCCACTTTCCTTTCTAATGCAGCCTGCAGGCTATGATGCTTCAGCTTCTGTGAAGCGCGAGAAAACGTGAGAAAATGGAACATGACTCAAATCCAAGTGCACTAAATGAAAACAGTCAGGGAAAAAAATGCGTGATTCGAGTGAAAGCAATTAGAAACGGATTAGAGATGACAAACTTTCTTGAGTTTCTGAGTTTTAAACATCTCTCTTGTTGCAAAAGCCTATGCTAAGGTTACACAACCAATAGGCTACTTGATGAAAAGACTATTCAAAGGAAGATTAATGTCATTGTTTAAATTGACCGTAGAAAAGAAAAGACTGTGAAACTTCCATATTTTTAATTGTATTTAAATGAGTCAGTATTTAAACTAATGTTGTCTGTGGTGATTCAATTGTTTTTGTGAGCTTTTGTAGAACTCTCTCAGGTAGAGATAATTTGGATTATTTGATTTAATGGTAACTTCATTTATATTTGTATTTTGAATGTTCCGTACAAGATTAACCGTATGCTATGGTGCACTTTGCCTTTAAGGTTACTCATGTACACTCCGCCAACCGATATTTTTGAAAGAAAAAGTGAAGTGATGTAACACAGTTGTTGTTGTCCACTCTGTGTGCAAGGTGTGTTCTGCTACGAAACAGACATTCAAGTGTACCAGGCGCACAGCAGAAGTTTTCCCTGTGCTCTTGCGTGTACTTAAAGTCTCAGTTTTTAGACAAACAGTGATTGGGACAGGAAATGTGCCATTTACAAAATTTTGCACTCTGGAACCAGTTGTCAAAACTTTCCCTTTTCAGGCACCCAAAACACCGTTGTCATGTATTTCAAAAGCAAAAACACAGTAAAAGATTACCGTATTAGAATAAAATCGTTGTTGTGTAAACAGGGACAAAGTGTGTAGTTAATGACAAGAAAACCAAGACTCACCCAAAGACACTAATGAAGTCAAAGAACTAATGATTTAAATTGTCTTTTACTGGGATATTCTATAGGTTAACTCGTAATATTATTATTATGTGGGGCAGCTGTGGCTCAGTTGGTAGAGTCGGTCGTCTCTCAACCGAAAGGTTATCCTGCTGCTTCATTGGCAGTGTATGAATGTGTGTGGATAAGATTAGTTACTTCTTGGCAACTTATGCCATCAGTGTGTGAATGACAACAGCTGCATGTTAAACTTTCTGTGTATATTGTACCAGAAATACATAACTGTACAAGATTCAGAAATAACGTTAACGATGTTTTAAACTTTTAGGGCGCACTCGCATTAAGCATTCTGTAGCACGCCCAAGTACGTTTGTTGGGTCCAGTTTGTTTGACTAGTGTAAGTGCTCGAAAACGGTACCCTCCCTTGGCCCTGGTAACGGTTTGAAGAGTTGGACTTTGCCATGGTACGTTTGATCATGTATGAGCACAAGCTCAGGTACGCAGCAGAGACATGACGTATAATTGATCAGCGCCTTGCAAAGTCGAGAAATCAAGCGGTGTAGAGCGCTGTATCCTTCAAAACGACACCCCAAAATAATCCACAAAGTCAGTAAAGTTGCAGTCATGCCACGGGCCACGGTAGTGCCTTGAGCAATGTTAGTGGGGGCCTGCGGAGGACTGTAGAGGGGGTTCAATCTTGCTTCAATATGGTATTGGGAACTAGGCCTAATGTGAGTGTGCCCTTAATCTGTCCTTTCTTTTTAGATAGACAGTCCTTTCCTTTTCAGGTAGACTGGAGCCAATGAAAAGAAGTGTACTTATTTCTCTTAGCTGTACCAAGGGCTGAACCAACATGTGAGGTGTGAGGTGATATGGGGTGCTGCTTGACAGTTACAAGGCAGGAAAAGCTCTGCATAGGAAGTGATCTCACAGGGCCCATGGATGATAAATGACTCCCAAGATAGCAGAGGGTAATCACTTGTAATCAAAGCCATAAGATGAGTTCAGAGAGGCATGATAGAAAGAAGGGTGGGAAGACATCATTCTCCATTCCTTTCTCTAAATATTCACAGATATTGCGTGCATGAGCTCCCCTGTCTAACACAGCCATCCTCAGAAAAAGTAGTATAGGGGTTAAAGAGGGGAGTTGTGATGATTGGGTCTGCTTTTCTTCACTCAGCGCTACTGTGAAGGATGGTCCAAATGCCACCATTCCTTCTCTGGTGCAGCTCCAGCAGACAGCTTGAGAGAAGCGCCAGAACAGGAAGGAGGCAATCAATCTGAGAGATGGTGCACCTCTCTGGTCAGAGTCCACACCTGGGACACATTCTGAAAAATGTTAGGCCACTTTGGGTTCCTTGGAAAGTCATCCAAAGGGTAAGCCAGTAAAGTTTCTATCACATTTCAAGCTTGGAACATGCTCTTAAAAAGTGAATGCAAGGAAATGGATAGGAGGATGGACTAAAGGGTGAGCGCAGATGTTGACAGATTAGTCACCTCAAGTGTTGTTTGGGCTCTGTAGTGTCTTGTGTTAATCATGACCTTATATCGGTTACATACTGGACACAACACAGGGCTCTGTTTAGCCTGGATTGTAAGATCTAGAAAATGGGATTAGTGAAGCTCTCTCCAAAAGCAGGGATTGTCATAACCTAATTCTAAATTATAGTCTAATGAAATATAGAATTGGTCTCTGAGGCACGACATGACGTAAAAAGAACAATACAGAAGTGGCGGACAAAGCAACAGAGTCCAGTATCAGACACTATAATAGGAATATTTGCCATAAAACAATGCTGTAGTTCAACAGAAACAAAAACATACTAAGTGAAAAGATAATGCAGCAGTTTAATTACATGCAAGCAATTGCAACTATTAACAGTTTATGGTCGTGCGCTGACAACAGGGAATAAGCCTTACCACCCCTCCCCACTCGTTTGAGGAAGATTTTTCATTAGAAAAGGTAAATAACTCTGAAATACCTAGAAAAAATAGATGAAATTACAGCATTTAAAGTTCAGAAATTTAGAATGAATGGCTTCGAGTGAGAGAAAGATATGCTGTTTATTAATGAACTGCTGTTGTAATACATCTGGGGTTGCATTCAATCATTTTATTTGTAGTATTCTTGCTACAGACACTGGACATCTGGGAATCCAAACTAATGTAATAACTTGGATGCAGAGATAAGACTAGCTGTAAAGACAATAAAAAAGTCTTTGTTCTTAATTAAGGCCCTACAAATATAGCAGGGCCTGATACGCAGTGAGACACACCAGTCAATAGCCAATTTCAGACTGCATTTCTGCGAAAGTGCTGTAACTAAGCTCATCTGTCATTAGGTCTATGTACAGTCATATGGATTCCAGGGCTGCTTAAGATTCTTGTCTCAGTCTGTGAATTCACATGGGGTTTTGGCATTGCGGAAGCACGGCATTGCGGGAGCTCTACATACACACACAGTCATACATGCACATTGTTTAGCACCGTGCTTCCCTGCTGGCTCCACTGATACTGTCTCACCTCTGTATTGCTACCTCTGAAGGCTGTACAGAGGTAGCCCCATTAAACCTCCGTGACATTCGCAGATGTCACAGGGACTTAAATATCCCGCCTTGCAACGGCAGTC